ATCCTGCGGGCTCCTAGTGTCTTTATTAAAAAATGTGAATTTGTCTTTAGGGCCCTCTAATGTCTATGTTTTTAAAAATGTGAAAGATTCTTAGGGGCCCTTGGTCTCTTTGTTTAAATGTGAATGAACCTTTGAAACCCTTTATGTTTAATTTTTGAACGCATATTAAGGTCTTTTAGTGTCTTGAAATTTCAAAAAAGTCTGTGGACCACGAGTAATTTGTTTTTGAAATAATGTAAAAAACTCTTTGGCCCTTCAGTGTCTTTTTGAAATACGTGACAGAACCTGAGGTTCCTATTACCCTTTTTTCTATTAAAAATAAAATTAAGCGCCCTGGGTGTTTTTGGTTAAATGTAAAGAATTTTTGGAGCTTCTTAGATATTTTGAAAGACTGTTAGTGTTCCCAAAGTGTCTTTTCTGAAAATGTGGAAGAATCTTGGGAACCCCTAGTGTCTTTTTAAAAATGTGAAAGGGTCTTGCGGGCCCTAATGTCTTTATTGAAGAATGTGAATGGCTTCAAGGAACCCTGGCGTCTTTTTTTAGTATGTGAAATTGCCTTAAGTGCCCCTAATGTCTTTGCTTTTAAAGATGTGAAAGAATCTTGGGGATTCTTGATCTCTTTGTTTAAATGTGAGTGAACTTTTGGAATCCTTTAAGTTTTATTTTTGAGCGAATAATAAGGTCTTTCGCTGTCTTGTTTGAGAATGTAAGAGAAACATAAGACCTGCTAATGTCTTTTTCGAATTGTGAAAAAAATCTTGGGAGTCCCTACTGTCTTTTTCAAATAAGGTATATGAAATTATCATGGAGGTCCCTAGTTGTTCATTTTTGATATAATTCGCAAAAAATTCTCGGAACCCATAGTATTTTGTTTTTGAAAAATTTTGAAGGAATTTAGGGTCTCCAAGTGTTTTTCTTTAAAAAATGTTTGGCGTTTTATTTTTGAAAGAATTTGAAAAAATTCTCTGGATCACGAGTAATTGTTTTTGAAATAATGTAAAAAACTCTTTGGCCCTTTGGTGTCTTTTTGAAATACGTGACAGAACCTGAGGTCCCTATTACCCTTTTTTTTAAATTAAAAATAAAATTATGCGCCCTGGGTGTTTTTGGTTAAATGTGAAGAATTTTTGGAGCTCCTTACATATTTTGAAAGATTGTTAGTGTTCCCAGAGTGTCTTTTCTGAAAATGTGGAAGAATCTTGGGAACCCCTAGTGTCTTTTTAAAAATGTGAAAGGGTCTTGCGGGCCCTGATGTCTTTATTGAAGAATGTGAATGAGTTTAAGAAACCCTGGTGTCTTTTTTAGAATGTAAAATTGCCTTGAGGGCCCCTAATGTCTTTGCTTTTAGAGATGTGAAATAATCTTAGGGACTCCTCATCTGTTTGTTTAAATGTGAGTGAACTTTTGGAATCCTTTAAGTTTTATTTTTGAGCGAATATTAAGGTCTTTCGCTGTCTTGTTTGAGAATGTAAAAACATAAGACCTCCTAGTGTCTTTTTCAAATTGTGAAAGAATCTTGGGGGTCCCTACTCTCTTTTTTAAATATATGAAATTATCATGGAAGTCCCTAGTTGTTCATTTTTGATATAATTCGCAAAAAATTCTCGGAACCCATAGTATTATGTTTTTGAAAAATTTTGACGGAATTTAGGGTCTCCAAGTGTTTTTCTTTAAAAAATATTTTGGCGCTTTATTTTTGAAAGAATTTGAAAAAATTCTCTAGATCACGAGTAATTGTTTTTGAAATAATGTAAAAAATTCTTTGGCCCTTTATTGTCTTCTTGAAATACGTGACAGAATCTTAGGTCCCTATTACCCTATTTTTTTTAAATTAAAAATAAAATTAAGCGCCCTGGGTGTTTTTGCTTAAATGTGAAGAATTTTTGGGGATCCTTAGATATTTTGGAAGATTGTTAGTGTTCCCAAAGTATCTTTTCTGAAAATGTGGAAGAATCTTGGCAACCCCTAGTGTCTTTTTAAAAATGTGAAAGGGTCTTGCGGGCCCTAATGTCTTTATTGAAGAATATGAATGACTTCAAGGAACCCTGGCGTCTTTTTTTAGTATGTGAAATTGCCTTGAGGGTCCCTAATGTCTTTGCTTTTAAAGATGTGAAAGAATCTTAGGGATTCTTGATCTCTTTGTTTAAATGTCAGTGAACCTTTGGAATCCTTTAAGTTTTATTTTTGAGCGAATATTAAGGTATTTCGCTATCTTGTTTGAGAATGTAAGCGAAACATAAGACCTCCTAGTGTCTTTTTCAAATTGTGAAAAAAATCTTGGGGGTCCCTGCTGTCTCTTTCAAATATATGAAATTATCATGGAGGTCCCTAGTATTTGATTTTTGATATAATTCGAAAAAAATTCTCGGGACCTATAGTATTTTGTTCTTGAAAAATTTCGGAAGAATATTAGGGTCTCCCAAGTATTTTTGTCTTAAAAAATATTTGACGTTTTATTGCTGAAAGAATTTGAAAACATTCTCTGGGTCTCAAGTAATTTGTTTTTGAAATAATTTTAAAAACTCTTAGGGCCCTTTAGTGTTTTTTTGAAGAACGTGACAGAACCTGGGGTCCCTATTACCCTTTTTTTGAAAAATGAAAAATAATCTTAGGGCCCCTTGGTGTTCATGTTTAAATGGTAAAAAATGCTTGATGTTCCTTGTGTTTTATTTTTGAAAGAATGTTAGTGTCCCCTAGTGATTTTTTGTAAAAATGTGAAATCGTCTTAAGCGCCCCTAATATTTTCTTTTATAAGAATGTAAATCAATCTTGAGGATTCTAGTGTCCTTTAAAAAAAAATGTGAAAAAATCTTAGGCGCCCTTGGTGTCTTTGTTTAAATGAGAAAGAATTTTTGGAGTCCCTTGGATGTTTTGGAAGAATGTTAGGGTCCCCCGAGTGTCTTTTCTGAAAATCTGAAAGAGTCTTAAGGGACTCGGGTGTCTTTTTTAAGAATGTGAAATTGTCTTGGGGGCCCCTAGTATTTCATTTTTGATATAATTTGAAAAAAATTTTCGGGACCTATAGTATTTTGTTCTTGAAAAATTTCGAAAGAATGTTAGGGTCTCCCAGTATTTTTGTCTTAAAAAATATTTGACGTTTTATTGCTGAAAGAATTTGAAAAAATTCTCTGGGTCTCGAGTAATTTGTTTTTGAAATAATTTTAAAAACTCTTAGGACCTTTTAGTATTTTTTTGAAGAACGTAACAGAACCTGGGGGCCCTACTACCCTTTTTTTGAAAAATGGAAAAGAATCTTAGGGCCCCTTGGTGTTCATGTTTAAATGTGAAAAAATGCATGATGTCCCTTGTGATTTATTTTTGAACGAATGTTAGTGTCCCCTAGTGATTTTTTGCAAAAATGTGTAATCGTCTTAAGCGCCCCTAATGTCTTCTTTTATAAGAATGTGAATCAATCTTGAGGATTCTAGTGTCCTTTAAAAAAATGTGAAAGAATCTTAGGCGCTGTTGATGTCTTTGTTTAAATGAGAAAGAATTTTTGGAGTCCCTTGGATGTTTTGGAAGAATGTTAGGGTCCCCCGAGTGTCTTTTCTGAAAATCTGAAAGAGTCTTTAGGGACTCTGGTGTCTTTTTTAACAATGTGAAATTGTCTTGGGGGCCCCTAGTATTTCAGTTTTGATATAATTTGAAAAAAAATCTCAGGAACTAGAGTATTTTGTTCTTGAAAAATTTTGAAAGAATGTTAGGGTCTCCCAGTATTTTTGTCTTAAAAAATATTTGACGTTTTATTGTTGAAAGAATTTGAAAACATTCTCTGGGTCTCGAGTAATTTGTTTTTCAAATAATTTTAAAAACTCTTAGGGCCCTTTAGTGTCCTTTTGAAGAACGTGACAGAACCTGGGGTCCCTATTACCCTTTTTTTGAAAAATGGAAAATAATCTTAGGGCCCCTTGGTGTTCATGTTTAAATGTGAAAGAATGCTTGATGTCTCTTGTGTTTTATTTTTGAAAGAATGTTAGTGTCCCCAAGGGATTTTTTGTAAAATTGTGATGTTTTGAAAGATTGTGAGGGTCTCTAGGTGTCTTTTCTGAAAATGTGGAAGAATCTTTGAAACCCCTAATGTGTTTAAAAAAAGTAATAATATAATAATGTCACTAATTTTAAAAAATCGATGTAATAACATTGATCCATAATAGAGCATAATCAACAAGTACTGCTTCAGTTGGCAACAATGAATTGTTGGTTGACAGTTCCAAAATTTGTTATTAATTACTTCGATTATTATTAATAAGTCATAACCAAATTCTCTTGGGCGCGTCAAAGTGACCTATCGTCAAGCATTTGAATCAGGTTTGGCAACAGCAGCGAAAAAAATTTCCTCAAAAGTGGTTAATTGTACTGCCAACCCAAACAATACATTACAACTATTACCAATTATACAAACTAACAAGTGAAAAATTTTGTGCAAACCTGACGGATTATTTTTTGGAGAACACACCATAACTTTAAACAAATTTGGCACTAAATTAACACCATAATAAAAAAAAAAGTCACCACCGATTGATTACGGCATGCTTTCTAGCTTAATCAATCTTCGGAAACAACTGAATTATTATCGGAATTATTATTCGCACGAGCCCGCAAAATTTAAATGTTAAAACCTGTTTCTGAATTAACAACTGCTTTGCATGTTTTTTTTTCCTAATTACTAAAATGAATTTCATTTTTTGCCGTCACGTAACGTTAATGTGAAAAAAATGCGAATAACTAAAATTTAAGAAATGCATATATTAAAGAAAAATTAGATTTAGATTTTTTATATATTAATCGAAATTCTTCTGTCCACTTATTACAAGTTTTTGTGAAATCGTTGTCGTTTCTACTTGAAAGTTATGTTTAATTTTTTCTCCTGAACATTTTGTAATGATTTGACCTATTTCGTCATTTTTGACTTCGTCATTCATCTGATGTTCACTTCTACATGACCCCATTTTGAAGCGTTGAAAGCGAAATTTGTTCAGATTTTTTTTTTTTTTTTTGAAAAAGCTGAACGTGATGGAATTTTTTAACAATTTTTTCTGTAATTAGCATCCGAAAATCTATCGGATTCATCTGCTTATTTAATTGAGTCCAGTCCAGACACGTATATATTTATTTTATTTTTGTGTTTAAATTTTGGTGGATGCGCCGGGGCAACTCTGAACCCAAAACTGAAAACAAAACCATTTGCAATACAAACCGCCGACAATTTATTTCCAAAAACAATCACACAAAAATGGATAAATCACTCCACAGGTTTCAGCTCCGACAACAACACCTCGAAAATGTAAAAATCGCCCCCTCTCAAAGCCAGCGTCATCACATGCAACAACCTATTCATAGTCGTCGTCCTCAACACATACGGCACCCCTGAGTCCTTCTCCAGGTACATCGGCGGCCCCAGAGTCTCACAGTCGTAGAAAAAGTACTCCGACTCGTTGGTCTTCCCGAAAGCGTAGACCCTCTTGTCCGAGTCCCTCTTGGTCACGCAGATCACCCCAAACCGCTTGACGTAGTCGTCGAAGAACAGCCTCAAGGCTTTATAGAGGTTGAACTGCTTCAGCCGCACCAAGAACATGGTTCCTTCCACCACCGGGGCAAACTCCACCTGGAAGCTATACGGGAACACCGTGCACTTCTTCTTGATGTCTTCAAAAGCCACTTCGTAGTTCTCGTCGCTGATGTCCTTGATGCACTCTGTGAAGAAGACGTCGCCGTTCACCACGATGGAGTCCATGACGTTGACGTTCCAGTCCACGAAGTCGTAGATCTGGGTCATCCCTATCGCCACCACGAGAGTCCCGATGGTTTGCTTCCTGTGGGCTTGGTCTCCCGCGGGAGCCAACGTCCCGAACAACGAAAACAGGTCGTCTGGGAAATCGATGAACCAGTTGTTCCAACGCGGATGGTCCGTCTTGTTCACCCTCCACGACCACGGAATGGGGTCCACGTCCAACCAGCACACCTCCTCGAAGAACGGTTTACAAATCAACTCGCCCTTTCGTCCTTTCGGGATTCGGTATTTCTTGGCGCGGTTGCTGATGATGACGTGCTTGGGCGCTTTGGTGATGGACATGATGTCGAAACAGTGGAAGTTGTAGCTTCCCGACCCTTTCACTAGACCCTTTTTCAGTCTCCGGACGAATTTGCGGAAGTTGGTGTATCTGGTCCAGGACGCCTTCCCTTTGTCGCTAGGGTCGAACAAATGGTAGATGTCGTCTTCGATGCTTAGGGCGTAGGAGCGGTTCGCGAACTGCAAGATGAAGTGTTCGTGTTTCTTGATCAACAAGGTTTCGATTGCTGGAAAAAATGAGTGAAGTGGATACTTGATTCAAAGTTTGGTGGTACCTGCTCTAAGACTATGTCTTGAGTCGAACGTTGCGAAGTTCATTCTGTACACCACGATGTCGAACAAGTAGTCGTCGATTAACACGTTCGTGATGAACTTTTTCGAGCAAACTCGGAAATCGTCGACGTGGCTGTAAATGTGGAGTCCTTCGTCAACGACTTCGTCGATTTTTCTGTCGTCCCATTTCTTGATTGGGTTGTTGAGGAGCATCAAGCAAGCGCAGATACAGACGAAGTAGTCTTCTTTTAGGCCATCGGAGACTTCTTTCTCACCACCGACGGCTTTAGTGCCTTGTATTTTACATAGTTTACCGACTAGACGGTACCTGTGAAGATAAATAGTAGTTTGGTTGAGTGGTACCGTGAAAATTTACCCCATTTTAGGTGGTGGCTTTGGTTCTTCTTCTTTCGGTTTCTTGAAGGTTTGGTACTCTACTGGTTCGTCGCCGCCTTCTCCCTCTCCAGCCTCTTCTTCTTCCTCCTCTTCCTCCTTCTTTTCCTCTTCGGGTTCCCTCGGTAGCAGTCTCACGTGACAAGAACTCAAAACGAATCGGTTGTACTCTACATTCTCCTCAGCTTCTCTTTTGGCTTTGTTGTGTAAAATCCGGGCCACTAGCATCTGGATGTCTTGGAACCTAATCAAACAAGCGACTCCTTCGTTCGAAGTACCCTTCCCTAAACCCACCTCGTTGTTCCCGAACCCATCATAAAGGTAGTACAAGTGGTTCTTGTAAAACAAAGCACAAGAGTACGTCGGCGTCACCAAAATCCCGGCTTGCCATTGCGGGAACAGGATAGTCCCAATGGCCATAGCCAAAATTCTGGGTTTAATAATAGTATCGAAGATGTAATTAACCCGAATGCTGAAGTCCGTTTTCCCTAGACTGATCCTAGGGATTTCTAGTTTGTAGTTTTGGTCGTAGCGCGTATTGGAGTTGGCGTGGAGCTCCGCTCCACATTTGAGAACGTAGTCCACCACGTCTTTGGACCACGAATCCACCGCATACTTCCTAGCTACCGCTCCCGCCATGATGCACACAAACGGTGCCATAAACTCCAACTCTTTACCGAACCCCGCCATGTTGGTAGCACCCAGGATGATCTGACTCCCGTCGGGTAAATCCACGAAGTTTGTTTCTTTTTCCAACTCTTCCGACAAGGTAATCTCGAGCTCTGGAGTCAAGTCGAAGTCGTACGCCGCTCCTTTCATCTCCGCTTTTCTTCGTCTAGTGAGAGTTTGGATGTCTCTGCTAATCACCGGGACTTCCTCGTCGGGTATTTCCACGGTGAAGTCGTCGGTACCGATTTCGGCTGAGATGCGACTCAAGAAGGATTGGGAACCGACTTGGGTGTACTCGGTCGCGGCCATGTACCACTCGTCCGAACCTTCGCCTTCTCCTTTGGCTCCTTCGGCTAGCTCGCCTTCGCCGAAGTACTTGCCCTTGCCACCTTTGCCACCTTCGCCGCCTTCGCCTCCTTCGCCACGTTTGACCATTTCTTTTTCTTCCGCGGTGAGGTCGAAACTGTCCAAGTCCATGAAAGCGATAGCGATTTCGGTTTCTTCAGGAGGTTCGGGCTCGATCTACGCAGAAGTGCTTTTGTGTCTTGGGACGTCCTAATTTGTGTCTTACCTGAGTATCGGATAAACTAGGGGAGTCCAAATCGGCTACGTATTCTGCATCTGGGGTTGTCAGTGGAGGAAGAGGTCTAGACGACACGCGATGTACCATCCTTGGTAGATCATCAGGCCCGATGCTTCTAACTGTAGACCCCACTTCCAAGATACTCTCGTCGGGAAGTCCTTCCAGAAGAGCGGCTCGCGTTTCATAATCCACTGTCACCGTTTTCTTGACAGCTTTCCTTTTCCCTCTTCGCATTTTGTGCTTTTTGAAGTTCTCGATTGGGTACTCTTGCATAGTGAGACACCTCGGAAATAACTCGTTCAAATTCGGGTCTCTGTGTATCTTACAAACTTTCAAAGCATGAATGTGGAAGATCATCTCTTTTTGGTCCCAGTTCTTGGTGATCATCTCCATCAACGAATCCAGAGTCGTGTGCATGGAAATACACGCAGTACCGTTGCGACACTTGTACCCTTCGCTGTTCCTCGAGTACGGGTCCACGCAGTGGTAGATATTCCTCTGCTTCCACACAGCCAAAGTCGAGTCGTCGATTTGAACAATCGCGTTGGAGTTAGTCTCGAAGAACTTCTCCAAGTCGATGCTCAGCTTGCATTGGCTTTTTTTGAACATGAAGTTGACGGAACGATTCGGGGCTATGTATACTTCGATGACGTACGGCCCGATGGTGAAGACCGCCGGTAGGTCTTCAATTTTGACTTCGTCGATTGTGTCGTTCTCGATGCACTCGAGGAACAGCTGATTTCCGATGATCACGATTTTGTCGACAGTCCCCTTGTGCCAGCTGCTTGGAGGCGTGATCTTTGAGTATACCTAGAACGGGAGGTGAAAAAAGTCGGAAGGAAGTCGCAACTTACCAGAGCCACCACGGCGATAGTTACGGCTTGTTTATTTCGAGAAAAACCGAAACATTTATCTGCTAAATCAAACGAACCTAGAACTACCGCTTTCTCTTCGTTGAGGACTTGGAAGTTGTCGGCTTCGGGGATCACTCCGGTGGAATCGACTTCTTCGGCGTCGCGCAAAAGCACCCGAAACGCTTGAATGGAGTAGATGGTGAAGGGCTGATTCTCGAGGTTCGATCGGTTCAAGAGGACCGTGATGATGGACGTGGTGTCGTAGAAATTGGCCATGAGAGCAGTCCCATTGGGGTGGGTGTACAAATCGATGGTCCTCGGACCGGGATCGAAGAAATAAAAGTGTTTGTCTTTCCAGATCGCGACGGTGAGGTGCTCAGTCTCGAGAATCCCAGCGGCGTACCGCCCGAAGTATATATTAAGAGCTTTGGTCAAGTTGTAGATTTTTTTATCGTCGGAGCGGATCATCCCCGATATTTCGGGCTCGCTCACCACAAAGCGGACCTTCCGCTTCCCGAGTTTGCAGTACTTTCGCAAATCCGACACTTTTAGTACCACCTCTTCACCATGCAAGTGCTTGGTACTAGCACTTTCCATGAACAAGTCGTTCCCGGCTATCAGTACGTCATCAATGTCAGCTTGAGTCCATCGATCCGGGTGTTTAAGCATCGAAAAGCAGTACGCCGCTATCGGTATACACATCCCTTGTTTATTGCGACTTACAGCCGGAAAGTGGGGATTCCCTTGATGCACGGTACCCAACTTCACCCCATAGTAGAACGTCTTCAAAGTCGGCTGCTTCAGTTTCGTAAAAGAAAAATTCTCAAAGGTACCACTCCTGATCTTTCGTTTCGGTTTCTGGTAACGGTGGATTTCCGAGTCTCGTCGAAACTTTTGCACCAAAGTACTGATAAAACGATCTTCTTTTTCCACTTTTTCGTCGCCTTCTTCCTCCCCTTTGTAATCCCTGCTCTTGAACGAGGTACTCTTAGACAACTGCGACACTTTTTTCTTAAATATCTTCGTCAAGTAGCTGTCAGGCGGCGGCTGTAACGAACGCATCAGCCCCTCTTCACCCAACAGTTCCGCTCCTTCTCCTGTCTCTTGTATCGTCGCCAGTTCTTGCGCTATCATTTCTTCAATGGTCGGACCTTGCATCTCCGGTTGTACAACTCGCCGCACGACCTTCCTCTTCTTCTTCTTTTTCTTTTTCTTTGTGATGTTGATGATGGTACCACTTTTGGGTTCGTGCAGCGTCAGCTCGGTCATTTCCGGTGGTTCCGGGTACGTCTGGCTCGGAGTCATCGAAGCTTTGCGAGGAAACACTTTAGCTTCTTTGATTTCCGCAGACGGGGCTTCAAACTAAGCGAGTTTGTTGTATTTTTAGCACGCTATACTCATACTCACAGCGATATCCAGCTTGGTTGTGCCGAGAGGACTGCCCAAGCGCATAACGCTATATTTGCAAAAATGGAGATCGGCTTCTAACTTCTTTTTCCTTTCGAGGTCTAGAAGTCTTTGTTTTCTTGTTTTCGGTACCACGTACTTAATTCCAGGAGGGGTGCTGTAGCTGTGCATCGTCAAATCCACTCTGGTACTACAAGACAGAGCTAGAGTTGAGTTGAGTTCGAGTCGTACCTTACTTCAAGGACGGTTTTAGTTGAACGTCATCGCTGTCGATTTTCTTCGGTTTGGGTTTACGCTTGCGGCCGCACGTTTTCTGGTCTCGGAGACTCTGCTCGAACACCGGGTCCAATTCAAAGAAAGAAAAATTTTCATTTTTCGTTTTGAAGAAGCTCTGGCAAACTTTGCTATCCCTACAACAGGAAAATGCATTTCGGGAGACCGTTTCACCGTTTTACCATGATTTATCCATTTTCTACTGAAATTTTGAGTAAATTTTCAAGCGAGTAATGTCAAAAGTAGACAAAACAAAAACTAATCAATGCGTCAATCACATAATTAAAAAAAAATTTTGGCACTTCACATTGTTCTAAATTCTCGTTTAAATATGCAGCGAAAACCGGTTTCTAAACTAGCAAAACCGACTAAAAAAACCACCCAAAATGCCGGCGATAAACCGGCGGAAGGAACCGTATCGACGAAAATACTACCCCCAAGAGGCCACACCGGGTTGCCGACGGACTGGAAGGAAATCGAGAAAAACGTTTTTCTTTGCTCGGGTTCCTACAGCCAAGCACACAAAAGATTCAAGGGGCATAACCAACAAAGTACGACCTAGCTTGCAAAGTACCAACGCGCTAACCCTCCCTTGTAGGTGCCGCCACGTGCATAGTCGCCTGCTCGTTCGCAGCTCTGCGAAAAATGAACAGCTGGACCAGAGACGTCCTCGACCAGATCCTCCAAACCGGCAACGACTTGCACATAAAGAGCAAAAACATGTCCAGCAACCGGTGCCTCGATCACATGAAGCCCACCCAAATTTACAACTACTTCTTCTTGGGAAACTTGATCATCTCCATGCGGATCGGGGTCGACGCCACCAGCGCTAGAATCTCCAGAGACTCGACCATCCTCCAGAAAATCGAAGACATGCTGGTGGAGTTCTTCACCCAGCACCCGTCCGGGATTGTAGCTTGTGTGCACTCGTATTTCGCCATCTGGAAGGTCGAAGGACGCTTCTTCATTTTCGACCCGACCGAACACAACCTGGAAGGCGGAAAGTGGATGGGACTGCCCGGAATGGGGTACTGCTACGCCCTCAGAAGCAACCAAGCCAAGACTATTGCGGACGTGGTCTTGAAGAACTGCCCCCTCAAGCAGATTAATCGCTTCACGGTGTACCCTTGCGGCTTGGACAAGTACGTCGAGGTCAACACCAAGCCGCCGCAAACCCTTTCAGATGTCCAAGCGGTACCCCTGGAAGCAGGTAAAGCGGTGAGGAAAAACGTGCTAAGCCCGAAGAAGCACGTGAAGAAAATATCTGCCCCGAAACCAGCGGAAGCTGAGAAACCACCAGAAACTGAAGCACCAGCGACAGGTGCAGCTCCAGCGGAAGGACAAGAAGCCAAAACCGATCCCGTTGAACCCAAAAAATCGGTATCTAAGTCGATGATTCCACCCGAACGACCCAGACTACAAAGTGTTACCAACTTCGTGGAGCTTCTACCCGGGAGAATGGGGATTTTGAGGGCTACTACGCACCAAAGGGACCCGAAGTTTACGAGGTACCTTGGAAAGCAGAGTGTGGGGAATGCTATAGCAGCCCACACTATGTTGCGTCACTACCGGGCTAAGCAATGGGTTAGGAATGTCTTAGACGATGTTCTTCGACTAGGGGAGCATATTCACCACGACATGAAGAAACTCACACCTGGATACATCCCCGAGAAGGTCACCCTCTACGAAACAGATTATAGTCCGAAGGTGGAAAAGTACGGAGCTGTGGGTTTGATTGAATCTGGAGACGATAAAATTTTGAACTTGAGTCAGGCTTTGAACAACGCTCTGATTGATATAGATTGTTGTATCTTGAATGGTCCGCACATTGTAGCTGTGTGGAAGCAAGAAAACAAATTCTACATGTTTGACCCTGAGGAGCGCAACCCTGTAGGTAAATTGGTCGAGGTAGGTGAAGCGGGAGTTGCTTGTCTCACTTGGTACACCAGACTGGCGGATTTGATAGCCGTCTATGTCGGAAATCTTCCAAAAGAGAAAAGAAACTCGAGGTTCATGCTTTGTAAAGTAGCCATCAAGGATTACGTACCACGGGCCGAAGACTGGTTCAACTACAAACCTCTCAAAATAAACAAGTGGATACTTCGAGGGACTTTCAACCAGAACGACAGAAGATTTCCTCGAGAAAGTCGGAATAGTCAATGTACTGCGAATGCCACGATGGCGTTAACTTACAAGGAGCTTAAAGAGGAGAAGGATTGGGATCCGCAAACTATGGATGAGATTTTGGTGAACGGCGACGAGTTATACCGCAGCTGCGTGGAGTACCTCAAGGAAATCGGGAAGTTTAAACACCCTCACTTGATGATCGACGAAATAAAGACGTCTTTTAACGTAGCAAACAAGATGATAAAACTGGAAGTGAACGACTGTCTGGTGAACGGAGTGGTCAATGCTAAGAACGATTCTTGGGTACCGAATTTGCTGAAAGGGTTCACCGAATTCTTCGGGGAGAACGACGCCGGGGTTATTACCGCGAACGACTTGTCGATGGCGGTCTGGAAAAGAGACGACGTCTACTACTACTTCGATTCGCATAGTCGCGACTCAAGAGGCATAGTTACAAGCTATGGTACTTCTTGCATTCTCCGGTTGATGAACCTCGAGGACCTAGCGAACGCAATGAAGGTTAATCTAGGTACCAACAAAGAAAACTTGTACAATATAAGTCGCGTCGTGGTTAAAGTCTTCGACATAACCGAAGAGGGAGTCACGATGCAACCGCTCAACTTCTACGAAACCTTGAGTCAACTGGTGGCAATTTTGCGCTCGAATACGAGTCAAAAAGACAAGAAGTACGACATTAGTGCCGGTAAACAGCAAGTACCGATGTGTTTGGCGGCTCTGGCTTTCAACAGCGTCAGTCCGTCGTTAGAATGGAGCAAGGAAGATTTAGACCAAGTTCTCAATCTCGGGGACAAACTTTACACGGACACTATGGCGGCGAATTACGCTGAAGGCGTCCCTGAAGAGCTCAACGTAGACGACGTGACCACCGCGAATGTGTACAAGAAACTAAACATCGGCCCTAACTCCATTGAGATAGAAATAGAAGAGAACGCTTTCGGTAACTTGGAAGAAAACTTGAAGACGGCGATGGAAAGTTTACACGAAAGAGTCAACGAACAAGGCCATTCTGCCTTCCAGTCGATTATAGAGTCTCAGTATATGACGGCGTCGATGTGGCGCGACGACAACTTGTTGTACTTGTTTGACCCGTACCCGCGCGACGAGAGAGGGCAAGTTTACGGCAAGGACGACTGGAGTGCTAAAGTGGAAATAGTCGAGGAGGGAGAAGGCGAATATGAAGGTGAAGGCCCCCCCGACGATGAAAACGAAGAACAAATGCAACTGGCTGAGGGGCAAGGTGAAGATGATGATCAGTGGGCGGCAGATCAGAATAGAGATGAAGGCGCAGGCGGTGATAACATGGGGGAGCCTGAACCTGAACCAGAACTCGTGGGTCCTCCACCTTCAGAAGCCGATGACCTTCCACCAGGGGATGAACAGGAAGGTGAGGAAGCGGAAGATGAAGAGGATGAGGAACCAGTTGTGGAAAAGAAAGGGTCTGAGTTCTGGCGCCAACAAGAACTAGTCGGCAAATCGTGCGTGTTGCGCTTTAGTCGCTTGGAGGACCTCATCCAGCACATTCTAGAGAACGCTCCTCCGAACAAACGTCAGGAAATCGAGTTCACGTTGAAGACGGTGAAGCTTTCGAACACACCGGTGCTCCACGAGGTGTTCGACCCGGAAGAAGACGAGAAGAAAGACGAACTAGTCGGGGACTGGAATCAGTTTAAGGAGTTCGACTATGGGAGGTGGATTTTGAGGGCGAAGAAAAACTTGAGAGACGGGCTTTTCCCGGTGGGGAACAGAGGCAAGCAGGCGCTCCCGATGTGTCTCGTGGCTTTAGCCTTCGCTAGTTCGTACGCCTTAAGCAAATTCACTGAAGAAGTAATGGACAATATTCTTGCCTACGGTGACCGACTGTACACATGCCTGTGGAAACTAAGAGGCAAACAACTCAAAGACAACAAAGAGCTTGCACTAACGGAAGAAGAGATTGAGCAAATTCTCAACAGCACTAAGTTTGAGCTTGAGGACTATCCGAGGACCATCTGCATGAGGGACTTGCGCACCAAGTGGGAACCCCAATTTGAAATTGTTAAGGGCGACATTACGTCCCAAATACCCGAAGAGGTACCCAACTTGACTTTCGGGCTCACCACCTTCTTCGAAATTTACACGTTTGGAATTTTGAACTGCCGAGATTACCCGGTTGGGATCTTCAAAAATGAAAACATGTACCTCATGTTTGACCCGCACGCCACTGGACCCTCTGGCGCTAAATCTCCAGTGGGCGTCGGGTGCATAACCCGATTTAAAGAAATCGATCTTCTGGCTCAAACCTATCTGGGTAACCTACCCAGAATCGGCGACAACTTCTTCGTAATACACGCCTTCACCTTCAGTAAAGACCAATGCGTCAGACCGCGTGCTCCCGAAGAGAAAGAAGAGAAAACGCCTAAGGTAGGTGGTTTCAAGGAAGTTACCGCAGGCAAGGGTATCCTCAGAGGTGACGTCAAGCTCGACTGCACCAAGTTCGACCGGGGTGTGCACATCCACAGCGCCCCCATCGCCTTCGTCGCTCTCGCTTTATCCCTAAACAAAGACCCAGACACCTGGACTAGACTCATAGTCAACGAAATCTTAACAATCGGCGAAGAACTATACAACGAAACCCTCGAGAAACTAGGAGAGAAGTTCGACCCTTGGAGCAAACAGCTCGACGTCTGCAAAGTCAACACCGACTTCATGATCGGGCGCTTGAAAGTCAACGTCGCCATCCGGTTCACCGAACAACGGGGAATCGTCAACATCAAGAATTCGAAAACACCTAACTTGAGACAAGGGATGGAGCGGTTCTTTGAAGAGAACTCCCACGGGATTGTCGTCGCGGACAAGTTCATCTTGGCTGTATGGGAACAGATGAAAGAGAAGAACGTCAGTATTTACGTGTTCGACCCGAATTCCCGCGGTGGTACCGGTTTGCCTGGTCAAGGAGGTGTTGCGTGCGTCATGAAGTTCTGCAACGCCAAGATGGCGTCGGACCACATCATGGCTTGCATGATGGACATCGACAAGACTAAGACGGAGTTCGCGATAGTTCCCGTCGAGATTGTGGTGGGTTCGGTGCATATGAAGCCCAAAATCTGCAAGAGCTTGTCGAAGCCGAAGAAACCCGAACCTAAAGGGTCGTCGACGTGTCACACTTGCTGCGATCCCAACTGGACGTACGCACGAGCGCAGCAGCCGGTGGTTTCGACCACGGTGGTGTCGAAGAGAGCCCCCGCGTCCATGAAAGCGCCGACGTGCCCTGATAAGGCCACACTCTTGGAGCAGAAGAGACTCCTGCGAAAAGAGGTAAGTTTTTTCCAAAGTTGTTACAACACAGCTACATTTTTTATTTTTAGATGTCGGAATTGCGAGCGATCAGGGAGAAGAAGCGCTGCGAGCTCTTGGGAAGGAACACGATCTACGAAATTAGTAGCAACCAGGCGATCATTCGCGGTCTGCGCCACATGATCAAAGACAGAGATCTTCCAGTGAATTTGGTCGCTTTTGTGTTTATGAAGATTGCGGTTGATCTGTCCAAATGGACGTACAGGCAAATCGAGCTGATTCTGGAAGCAGGGTATCAGCTCTACGTGGATTCTTACAACGCGTACAAACCTACCACTACCAAACTGGGACTTCAACACATACTGAGGCGCATCTTGTTGAAAGATTTCGAAGCGAAGATCGACGTTAGGAAACCTATAGCCGGAGGCAGATTCACGAGAGAAAATCTTAACGTGCACTTGACTAACTTCTTTGTGATTACGAATTTCTGTATTGTGAGCTTCGAGGACTACCTTGTTTCGATTTACTTCAAATCTGGCTACTACTATTTGTTTGATCCGTATAGTAGGGATCTGTTAGGTAATAAAACAGAAGATGGAAGTGCAATGCTGATGCGCTTCGGAGATTTAACTGAGTTAGTCGATAAAGTCGTCAAGAATTTCGTACCGGCAGAACTAGCTGATAACATCGAGAAACGTTACGCCTTGATTGTTGTGGGTCTGATAAGTGTTACACCAATTGGGAAATAATGTAAAGTCCTGTATTGTAGTATTTGAGAGTAAAGTCGATTTCCGAAACCATTTTGACCAAAAAAAAAAAACACAAGTGGTATTGTAAACTTTATTTCCTCTTAAGTTTGTAAACATTCTTTCTAATTACGTTGCTTAGGTCTAACGGTCCTATCGCTAAACTTAATGGTAACATCTTGGACCCTCATATTGGGAGTCAAGAACTGCTGGAGAGTGTCGACTCCAGTTCTGGGCATCCTGTCGAACGGGTAACCCATGGAGCGGCGATCCGGATACAACTTGTCCTTGATGCCGCAATAACTTCCAGCATCGTTGCATACTCCGTCGGTCTTTTGATCGATCTTGTCGTCTTCATAGTTGGAGATCATCACGAAGAGCTGGGAGGCGAAACCTTCCGGAGTCCCCTTCGGGATCAGCATGTGTGCAGGCCATCCACAACCGCAGAAGTTGAATTGGGCTAAGGCTTCTCCTCCTTGGGGACGATTCAAGTCCAAATTACGGAACGTGCGTTCGAAAGGAATGGTCACTGAAGACTGGTTGGAAGCCCGGTTGATGGTGTTCTGGCCTTGCTTCACTACAAACCGGGAACTATATTAAAGTGTTTGATTTGACCTGAGGACTTACAATTGACCGTGAATTTATCCAACTCGATGAACATGGTCTTCTGGTCTCTAAACAACCACGGGTTGCCCTTTTCGTCGTTTTTCGGCGCCAGGAAGATTCTGCAGGTGCCTTGTCTACTACCGTTGGCCTGGTTGTTAACGGTGATCTTGTAAGTGAAGGGTTGGTGCTGCAGGTGGGTGAACCTCACGAAGACGGAACCTCTAGGCTGGAAGTCCATTCCTCTGGACAAGTCCACGTCTGATTGTTGCCAGAACGTGTTAAAAGTGTTATTGGGGCTTCCCTCCGACTGGACTTCGATGTTGCTTACAGTGATACCAGAATAGTTGAGTTGGTTTTCGCTATAACGTGGCAGAGTGGCTTTATATTCTTGGAATATGTCGTCGATGTAAGAGTGCCATCTGTAGAAAACTGGGTCCCGCATGGCCGTCGCCAAATCACCCATAACCCCGAAAGACTCAAGGTGACGATGATCCGGGTCGTGGATATACGAGATGAAGACGTGTCCCATGTTGTGGAGATCTCCATAGAAGGTACGATTGGGCGACAGGATACTGGACTCCACCATATTACCCAGGATGTCGATGCCTTCGTTTTCGGTCAGACTGATGGTACCTCCGCTTGCCTACAACTCTTATTAACAATCTGTGACAACTTTAGGATTTTACTTACGTCGGTGACACTCCCTTGGTGAATGGCGGCGTAAATCCGGTCGCTCCACCTCTTCAAATCTTCAACGTCTTGCTTAATTTGGTCCACCTCTCTGTTCAAGTCCCGGATTTTTTGGTTGGCAAACCTCCCCGGCCACGATCTACCAGCCACCAAACTATCCAGCTTCGGGAAATAACCTTCCTCGATCTCCTTCGTCCAGTCGTTCAACCTCGTCACCCTCTCCAGCTTGTTGCACAACCTCTCGTAGTTGTACCTCGCGATGATCTGCTGATGCATATAGTAGAACAGCTCCCCTCTACGATTCTTCGCCACGACTTCCCTCGCCGCTTCGATCGGGTACACCAAGTGCCAATGCCAGTGGTGCAGATTAATCCCCAAGTCCTCCCGGAAGTACGCCAGTCGGTGCTCCACCTCCAGGTCCGAAGCCGTGTAGTCCTTCGGCATCTTGATGGGGATCCGCGACCCGTCGGGCACCACCGTCATCTCCTCCCTAACCTTGGCGAACACTTTAGCGTCTAAGTACTTGTCAGGGAATGTCTCGATGAACGGCGGTAGGTCGAAATCTTGGGTGTCCGGCCGGTGCAAAATGGCCACCGACAACGCGTAGTTGAACAAATAGGGGTTCACGCGGTCCCAGGCGTACACCGCGACCGCTAGGAGCTCGTCCAGGTTGGCCATAGCGAGGAAGATGTCGATGAACTTTCCGGCGATGCGGCGGTGCTTGGGGATGAAGAGCGAGAAGTTCTCGTCGCGCTGGAGTTCGAGGATTTCGCCCAAAGGGGGAATGGTGATCCTCCTGATGGGAATGAACTCTTCGTTGTAATCGTCGCCGAAGTGGGGGAGGAGGGGTTGGAAGTGGTTGACGATGTACTCAGGGGGAATCGAGAAGACAGTCTTGTTGGCTCTGGATTTGTAGATGGGCTCGCGGGGTCGGTCGAAGAGGAGAGAGAGACCTTTCTTAGTGGTGGACATCGTGGTCCTGGAAGATTATTCGAAGCAATGAGAGCCATTATAATGTTTACAGACATGTCTACCAACCATATACACAAAAGAATTTTGCGTATTTATAGCTGTCTCGTATTTTCAATTTTTATGTACCTAATTTGAGTTAATACGATTAAAATTACACTTTATTGTCTTGATGCGCATACCAATATCCAACATTAAAGAAAAATAAGTATGCTTTTAATCATGATTTTAACCCACATTTGCAGAATGTGCAATGTTTATGTTTATTGCAGAACCTAGATTATGCAACCAATATTACAACCATATATTAAATAATAATAATTAGGAATAATAACTAACACCTATTTTTTAAATCACTTTATTAATTGAGTTAAGGAAGTTATTATTTAAATTATTTGTGACTAACCAAAAAAAAAAAAATCACAAATAATCCACGAACCGTTCTTAAGAAAATGCCGAAGCAACGTTTGGTAAATATACCGTACGGCTCAAAAATGATAGACCTGGGGCATATAATTTGTATATAAGAACTAAATGTGAATTAATAATAATATAAGTAAATAAATACTTACATAAATAATAAACATAAAGACTTACATTATTGATGAAAACACGTAAGTTCGGGTTGAACAGAACCAACAAATACACTTAAAAAATAAAATTTTTCTTATATTATACCTTGCGGAAGTGCCTATCTTCCAGCAGTATCTTTTCTATGAATTGCACATAAAACGCGGATGCGGTCCTGATAAAAAACCTCGTTCCTATCAATCGCACTGAATGTTAACAACACCTATGATACCCGGTGTCTGGAAAATGGCGGGTTAACACTAAAAATAGCAAAAAAATTCCTTCTCACATTTTGGTCAAATTATAATGATTTTAAAATTGGTTTAAACCCTACGTTCAAAAAGTTCGCAGTTAATTTAGGTCCCCTGGTGTTTTATGATGAACTTGAACAAATCTGTTTACCTTTTATTAGTGTTTTATTTTTTACGAATTTGAAAGTCTTCAGTGCCGCAGTGTTTTTTTTTTAATCGGGTGACTCTTAGGTACCCATGGCGTACTATTTTGGAAGCCCATACATTTTTTTTATTATTTTAAACAATTTTGGGGCACTCTATTTTTGGAAAATTCTGACCTGACTTCTTTTTGAGTTAATTTTGGGAACCCGTTCTTTTTTCTGAAAAATCTAAAACAATCAAACAAGAATTTCTATTCTTGTTTGAAAATAATTTGAAATTGCTTTGCGCATCTGCTGTCTTTTCTTATAAAAATGTAATTAGATTTCTTAGAGGATACGTCATTTGTTAAAATCAGTTTTATCTTAGCAAGTACTAGCCCCGCCCACCCACCCTGTTGTTTCTTGGAAGCTATGTCATTTGCCGAAATCAGTTTTATCTTAGCAAGTCCTGATAACTAACTTTTACAAAAAATTAAAAACTGAAGAGTTAATCCGCCTTTTTCCATACACGCAGGAAATCGAAAAAAATAGCATAAATTACAGAAGTACTAAAATGTTTTCCGGAACATTAGACAGGTATTCATTTATTTAAATTAAAAATTATAAAATAGGCACTTCTTCCTCCAAAATATGTTATAATTTTGAATTTGTAATGAGCAATGAAGACTTACATAACATTTAACTTTTCGAAGTTAGAGTATGGCATATAAGAAAATAGTCAAAATCGTCGAAGAGAAAATAGGTAAATACGAAGATGAACGAATTGCTGAACAAAACAAACTGCAAAAACAGGAATTAGTAAAGTCAATAAAAATGAAATTTTTAAAATGTGATTTCTGCATTTTGTGATTGTGTTATATCTAGGAAATTGTTCGAACTGGCGTTTGTAAATTTTTTTTTCCAAACTTGTGAAGAAGAACTGGTTGTAGAAAAGAGACGACGTTTACTACTACTTTGATTCGCATTGTCGCAACTCTAGAGGCATAATTACAACGGTTGGTATTTCTTACCTCAAGTATGCGACGTTGATTTTCAAGCGCCCGATCATGAAGTCGGTGTTGACTTTGCAGATGTCGAGCTGTTTGCTCCAAGAGTGGAACTTCTCTCCCAGTTTCTCGAGGGTTTCGTTGTATAGTTCTTCGCCGATTGTTAAGATTTCGTTGACTATGAGTCTAGTCCAGGTGTCTGGGTCTTTGTTTAGGGATAAAGCGAGGGCGACGAAGGTGTGGATGTGCACACCGCAGTCAAATTTGGTGCAGTCGAGCTTGACGTCACCTTTGAGGATACCCTTGCCTGCAGTAACATCCCTGAAACCACCTATCTTGGGCGCTTTTTCTTCTTTCTCTTCGGGAGCACGCAGTCTGATGCATTGGTCTCTACTGAAGGTGAAGGCGTGTATTACGAAGAAGTTGTCTCCGATTCTGGGTAAGTTACCTAGGTAGGTTTGAGCCAGAAGATCGATTTCATTAAATCGGGTTATGCAACAGACCCACTGGAGATTTAGCGCCAGAGGGTCCAGTGGCGTGCGGATCAAACATGAGGTACATGTTTTCATTCTTGAAGATCCCAACCGGGTAATCTCGGCAGTTCAAAATTCCAAACGTGTAAATTTCGAAGAAGGTGGTGAGACCGGGAGTCAAGTTGGGTACCTCTTCGGGTATTTGGGACGTAATGTCGCCCTTAATAATTTCAAATTGGGGTTCCCACTAGGTGCGCATGTCCCTCATGCAGATGTTCCTCGGTTAGTTCTCAAGCTCAAACTTGGTGCTGTTGAGAATTTGCTCAATCTCTTTTTCCGTTAACGCAAGCTCTTTGTTGTCTTTGAGTTGTTTACCTCTCAGTTTCCACAGGCATGTGTACAGTCGGTCACCGTAGGCAAGAATATTGTCCACCACTTCTTCGTTGAATTTGCTTAAGGCGTACGAACTGGCGAAGGCTAAAGCCACCAGGCATATCGGGAGCGCCTGCTTGCCTCTGTTCCCCACCGGAAAAAGCTCGTCTCTCAAGTTCTTCTTCGCCTTCAAAATCCACCTCCCATAGTCGAACTCCTTAAACTGATTCCAGTCCCTGACTAGTTCGTCCTTTTTCTCGTCTTCCTCCGGGTCGAACACCTCGTGGAGCACCGGTGTATTCGAAAGCTTCACCGTCTTCAACGTGAACTCGATTTCCTGAAGTTTGTTCGGAGAAGCGTTCTCTAGAATGTGCTGGATGAGGTCCTCCAAGCGACTAAACCGCAACACGCAAGATTTGCCGAGTAGTTCTTGTTGGCGCCAGAACTCTGACCCTTTCTTTTCCACAAATGGTTCCTCATCCTCTTCACCTTCCGCTTCCTCGCCTTTCTGTTCATCCTCTGGTGGAAGGTCATCGGCTTCTGAAGGTGGAGGAACCACGAGTTCCGGTTCAGGTTCAGGCTCCCCCATGTTATCACCGCCTGCTCCTTCATCTCTATTCTGATCTGCCGCCCACTGATCATCATCTTTACCTTGCCCCTCAGCCAGTTGCATTTGTTCTTCGTTTTCATCGTCGGGGGGGGGCTTCACCTTCATATTCGCCTTCTCCCTTCTCGACTATTTCCACTTTAGCACTCCAGTCGTCCTTGCCGTAAACTTGCCCTCTCTCGTCGCGCGGGTACGGGTCAAACAAGTACAACAAGTTGTCGTCGCGCCACATCGACGCTGTCATATACTGAGACTCTATAATCGACTGGAAGGCAAAATTACCTTGTTCGTTGACTCTTTCGTGTAAACTTTCCACCGCCGTCTTCAAGTTTTTTTCCAAGTTACCGAAAGCGTTCTCTTCTATTTCTATCTCAATGGAGTTAGGGCCGATGCTTAGTTTCTTGGGCACGTTCGCGGTGGTCACGTCGTCTACGTTGAGATCTTGAGGGACGCCTTCAGCGTAATTCGCCGCCATGGTCTCGGTGTAAAGTTTGTCCCCGAGATTGAGAACTTGGTCTAAATCTTCCTTGCTCCATTCCAACGACGGACTGACGCTGTTGAAAGCCAGAGCAGCCAAACACATCGGTACTTGCTGTTTACCGGCACTAATGTCGTACTTCTTGTCTTTTTGACTCGTATTCGAGCGCAAAATTGCCACCAGTTGACTCAAGGTTTCGTAGAAGTTGAGCGGTTGCATCGTGACTCCCTCTTCGGTTATGTCGAAGACTTTAACCACGACGCGACTTATATTGTACAAGTTTTCTTTGTTGGTACCTAGATTGACCTTCATTGCGTTCGCTAGGTCCTCGAGGTTCATCAACCGGAGAATGCAAGAAGTACCATAGCTTGTAACTATGCCTCTTGAGTCGCGACTATGCGAATCGAAGTAGTAGTAGACGTCGTCTCTTTTCCAGACCGCCATCGACAAGTCGTTCGCGGTAATAACCCCGGCGTCGTTCTCCCCGAAGAATTCGGTGAACCCTTTCTGCAAATTCGGTACCCAAGAATCGTTCTTAGCATTGACCACTCCGTTCACCAGACAGTCGTTCACTTCCAGTTTTACCGTTTTGTTTGCTACGTTAAAAGACGTCTTTATTTCGTCGATCATTAAGTTAGGGTGTTTAAACTTCCCGATTTCGTTGAGGTACTCCACGCAGCTGCGGTACAACTCGTCGCCGTTCACCAAAATCTCATCCATAGTTTGCGGATCTCAATCCTTCTCCTCTTTAAGCTCCTTGTAAGTTAACGCCATCGTGGCATTCGCGGTACATTGACTATTCCGACTTTCCGGAAGAAATTTTTTGTCGTTCTAGTTGAAAGTCGCTCGAAGTATCCACTTGTCTATTTTGAGAGCTTTGTAGCTGAACCAGTCTTCGGTCCGTGGTACGTAATCCTTGATGGCCACTTTACAAAGCATGAACCTCGAGGTTCTTCTCTCTTTTGGAAGATTTCCGACGTAGACGGCTATCAAATCCGCCAGTCTGGTGTACCAAGTGAGACAAGCAACTCCCGCTTCACCTACCTCGACCAATTTACCTACAGGGTTGCGCTCCTCAGGGTTAAACATGTAGAATTTGTTTTCTTGCTTCCACACAGCTACAATGTTCGGACCATTCAAGATACAACAATCTATATCAATCAGAGCGTTGTTCAAAGCCTGACTCAAGTTCAAAATTTTATCGTCTTCAGATTCAATCAAACCCACAGCTCCGTATTTTTCCACCTTCGGGCTATAATCTGTTTCGTAGAGAGTGACGTTCTCGGGGATGTATCCAGGTGTGAGTTTCTTCATGTCGTGGTGGATGTGCTCCCCTAGTGGAAGAACATCGTCTAAGATATTCCTAACCTTAGCTTAGCCCGGTAATGACGCAACATAGTGTGGGCTGCTATAGCGTTTCCCACACTCTGCTTCCCAAGGTACCTCGTAAACTTCGGGTCCCTCTGGTGCGTAGTGGCCCTCAAAATCCCCATTCTCTCCGGTAGAAGCTCCACGAAGTTGGTAACACTATGTAGTCTGGGTCGTTCGGGAGGAATCATCGACTTAGATACCGACTTTTTGGGTTCAACGGGCTCGGTTTTGGCTTCTTGTCCTTCCGCTGGAGCTTCACCTTTCGCTGTTGCTTCAGTTTCTGGTGGTTTCTCAGTCTCCGCTGATTTCGGGGCAGATCTTGTCTTCACGTGCTTCTTCGGACTTAGCACGCTTCACCTCACCGCTTTACCTGCTTCCAGAGGTACCGCTTGGACTTCTGCGAGGGTTACGGCGGCGTGGTATTGACCTCGACGTACTTGTCCAAGCCGCAAGGGTACACCGTGAGGCGATTAATCTGCTTAAGGGGGCAGTTCTTCGAGACCACGTCCGCAATACTCTTGGCTTGATTGCTTCTGAGGGCGTAGCAGTACCCCATCCCGGGCAGTCCCATCTACTTTCCGCCTTCCAGGTTGTGTTCGGTCGGGTCGAAAATGAAGAAGCGTCCTTCGACCTTCCAGATGGCGAAATGCGAGTGCACACAAGCTACAATCCCGGAGGAGTGCTCGGTGAAGAACTCCACCAAAATGTCTTCGATTTTCTGGAGGATGGTCGAGTCTCTGGAGATTCTAGCGACGGTGGCGTCGACCCCGATCCGCATGGAGATGATCAAGTTTTCCAAGAAGAAGTAGTTGTAAATTTGGGTGGGCTTCATGTGCTCGAGGCACCGGTTGCTGGACATGTTTTTGCTCTTTATGTGCAAGTAGTTGCCGGTTTGGAGGATCTGGTCGAGGACGGCTCTGGTCCAGGTGTTCATTTTTCGCAGATCTGCGAACGAGCAGGCGACTATGCACGTGGCGGCACCTACAAGGGAGGGTTAGCGCGTTGGTACTTTGCAAGCTAGGTCGTACTTTGTTGGTTATGCCCCTTGAATCTTTTGTGTGCTTGGCTGTAGGAACCCGAGCAAAGAAAAACGTTTTTCTCGATTTCCTTCCAGTCCGTCGGCAAGCCGGTGTGGCCTCTTGGGGGTAGTATTTTCGTCGATACGGTTCCTTCCGGGTGTTTTTTTAGTCGGTTTTGCTAGTTTAGAAACCGGTTTTCGCTGCAAATTTATCAATCGGAGAATGCAAGGGATAGAATGGTAAGTTCGATTTGCTGGTCGAAGAAGATGTCGAGATTGTGGTGGGGTCGGCGCAAAAACTTGACAAAGACGAAGAAACCCAAACCTAAACGTTCAAGCAAATCGATCTTGTTCTGGACGTAGAGTATCAACTGTACGTGGATTCTTATAAAAAGAACAACCCTAAGACAAGCAAACTGGGAATTCAAGATGTGCTGAGGCGCATCGTGTTCAGAGATTTTGAGATGGAGATCAAGATTGAGGAATCTTTCCCTGGAAGCTGGTTCACGATAGAGAATCTTGACATTGACTTGACTAAACGCTTTAAAGAAACAGATTTCTGTATTGTGAGCTTCGAGGATTACCTTGTTTCAATTTACTTGGCATCCGACAGGTACTACTATTTGTTTGACCCCTACAGTAGGGATATTTGTGGTGATAGGACACAACGTGGAAGTGCCATGATCATGCGATTCAGAAATTTAACAGAGTTAATTGTTAAAGTGGTGCGAAATTTGCTACCTCCGGGTACAGATCTGACCGACAAACGTTACGCATTGATTCTTGTGTATCTGACAAGTGTGACACCTTTATTTTAATATTTGTACGTAATGTCTCTGTTTAAACCCCTTTTGAGTCAATAAAACACAAATTATGCTTCTAAATTTTATTGCTACTAAGCCTTTTCCAAAAATTCACAAAAACCAAAAAATCATCATTGTTTCTAACTACGTTGCTTAGGTCTAACGGTTCTATTGCTAAACTTAACGGTAACATCTTGGACCCTCATGTTGGGAGTCAAGAACTGCTGGAGAGTGTCGACCCCGGTTCTGGGCATCCTGTCGAACGGGTAACCCATGGAGCGGCGATCCGGGTACAACTTGTCCTTGATACCGCAATAGCTTCCAGCATCGTTGCACACTCCGTCGATCTTTTGGTCGACCTTGTCGTCTTCATAGTTGGAGATCATCACAAAGAGCTGGGAGGCGAGACCTTCCGGAGTCCCCTTCGGGATCAGCATGTGTGCAGGCCATCCACAACCGCAGAAGTTGAATTGGGCTAAGGCTTCTCCTCCTTGGGGACGATTCAAGTCCAAATTACGGAACGTGCGTTCGAAAGGAATGGTCACTGAAGACTGGGTGGAAGCCCGGGTGATGGTATTCTGGCCTTGCTTCACTACAAACCGAGAACTATATAAAAGTGTTTGACTTGACCTGGGGACTTACAATTGACCGTGAATTTATCCAACTCGATGAACATGATCTTCTGGTCTCTGAACAACCACGGGTTGCCTCTTTCGTCGTTCTTTGGCGCCATGAAGATTCTGCAGGTGCCGCGTCTGTTACCGTTGGCTTGGTTGTTGACGGTGATCTTGTAAGTGAAGGGTTGGTGCTGCAGGTGGGTAAACCTCACGAAGACGGAGCCTCTAGGCTGGAAGTCCATTCCTCTGGACAAGTCCACGTCTGATTGTTGCCAGAACGTGTTGAAAGTGTTCTTGGGGCTTCCCTGCGACTGGATTTCGATGTTGCTTACGGTGATACCAGGGTAGTTGAGTTGGTTTTCGCTGTAACGCGGCAAAGTGGCTTTATATTCTTGGAATATGTCGTCAATGTAAGAGTGCCATCTGTAGAAAATTGGGTCCCGCATGGCCGTCGCCGAATCACCCATGACCCCGAAAGACTCAAGGTGACGATGATCCGGGTCGTGGATATACGAGACGAAGACGTGACCCATGTTGTGGAGATCCCCATAGAAGGTACGGTTAGGCGACAGGATGCTGGACTCGATCATGTTACCCAGGATGTCGATACCTTCGTTTTCGGTCAGACTGATGGTACGCCCACGTTCCTACAACTCTTGTTGTCAATCTGTGACGACTTTAGGGTTTTACTTACGTCGGTGACGCTCCCTTGGTGAATGGCGGCGTAAATCCGGTCGCTCCACCTCTTCAAATCGTCCACGTCTTGCTTAATCTGGTCCACCTCTCTGTTCAAGTCCCGGATTCTTTGGTTGGCAACCCTCGCCGGCCACGACCTACTAGCCACCAAACTATCCAGCTTCGGGAAATACGCTTCCTCGATCCCCTTCGTCCAGTCATTGAACCTCGTCGCCCTCTTCAGCTTGTTGCACAACCTCTCGTAGTTGTACCTCGCGATGATCTGCTGGTGCATATAATAGAACAACTCCCCTCTACGATTCTTCGCCACGACTTCCCTCGCCGCTTCGAACGGGTACACCAAGTGCCAATGCCAATGATGCAGATTAATCCCCAAGTCCTCCCGGAAGTACGCCAGTCGGTGCTCCACCTCCAAGTCCGACGCCGTGTAGTCCTTCGGGATCTCGATAGGGGTTCGCGACCCTTCGGGCACCACCGTCGCCTCCTCCCTAGCCTTGGCGAACACCTTAGCGTCCACGTACTTGTCAGGGAAGGACTCGATGAACGTCGGCAGGTCGATGTCCTGGGTGTCCGGCCGGTGCAAAATGGCCACCGACAAAGCGTAGTTGAACAGGTAGGGGTTCACGCGGTCGCGGGCGTACGTGGCGACGGAGAGGAGGTCGTCCACGTTGCGCATACCCAAGAAGATGTCGATGAGCTTACCGGCGACGCGGCGGTGCTTGGGGATGAAGAGCGAGAAGTTCTCATCGCGCTCGAGCTCGAGGATTTCGCCGAACGGGGGGATGGAGATCTTCTTGACTTGGACGCGCTCCTCGGCGTCTTCGGCGAAGCGGTTGCTGAGGCTCACGCCGAGGGGCTTGTAGCGATCGTTGAGGTACTCGTTGGGCACGTCGAAGACGGTTTTCTTGTCGCCTTTGGCGATGAAGACGGGCTCACGGGGACGCTCGAAAAGGAGAGCAAGGTTCTTCTTAGTACCGGACATCGTGGTGGAGCTAAAGAATATACAATATTAAAAATATGAACACAGATTAGGTTAGGCAACCAATGTTACATTATTTTCTTAGAATTAACCTTTTTTTTTTAGTTTTTAGTTATTGAAAAACAAATTGGGTAAGAATTATTAATTCAACAATAAATTTCAATTTAAATTTTATAGAAATAATAAATAAAACAAAACTTACATTTTTTTTTATAAAAACAGGCAGCTTCTGGTGTCCACAAGGAACTGATACTCTCCGAAAAAAAATCTTTTTTATATTGTACCTTCAGGAAGTGGCTTCGATCCTCCATTTCCATGTTTTCGACGAATTTCAACTAAAAAACGGATGCGGTCCTGATAAAAAACCTCTCTTTTATCAATCACACTGAGTGTTAAAAACAACACCTATCAACAATAATAATAATTTACTTTTAGTTTTTAATAAAGCCATATTTTTTTTAAATATAACTTACACTTGTCATAGTGTCTGTAATCATGTGTGGGACATTCTGTACATTTGCTCTAATTTTTCTGACACTGAAAAATGTCTGTAAAATAAAACCAAAATTGGCGCCTTTTTTATCGTCGCTGAGGTTGTTTAAGCTCTCAACAAAGCAATCAGTAACCCCAAACCCGTCCATCCACCCCAATTTTCCCTCCCTTATTCGCCTCCCTCTGTAATTTTCAAATCCCGCGCCTCTCGTCTCCGATCCGAGGTGGCTCTGGCTGTCAAACTCGCCAACGAACGCCCTCGGCCGCCATCTTTGTGCGTTGTTTATCGCGAGTTTCTTGCACTTTCAGCCCTCAGAGCACCTCAAAGTCCTCCAGCGATGTCAAACAGCCGAAACGACTGCAGGATCTACGTCGGGAACCTTCCGCCGGACATCCGCACCAAGGACATCCAGGACCTCTTCTACAAATTCGGTAAAGTGACTTTCGTCGACCTGAAGAACAGGCGGGGGCCTCCGTTCGCCTTCGTGGAGTTCGAGGACCCGAGGTGGGTGTCTTTGATTACGAGTCGTGCTGTCGACGCTAGTATTTGACCGAAATTGTCTCGTTGTGTGGTCAGGGATGCGGACGACGCCGTCCACGCCAGGGACGGCTACGACTACGACGGCTACCGCCTGCGAGTGGAGTTCCCGAGGGGCGGCGGCCACGGCAGCTTCAGGGGCGGCAGAGGCGGCGGCGACAGGGGCCGGAGCTCGAGGGGGCCGCCGGCGCGGCGGTCGCAGTTCAGGGTGCTTGTTACAGGTAAGAGGGGGTGCGAAAATCGAGAGGCTCCAAGTGTGGAGTTGCTTGAAAGTGGCCTTGAAACGTGGACGGTTTCACTGATAAGGAGCTTATCTGGGTTGCATTTGTTTTCGGAGGATATCTGCTGGCCTCGGATGTTCGGAGTGGTTTTATCTGTCTTTCATCAGAGTTGATTGGGATCAGTTGTGGATTGGGTATTTTTAACTGGAGAAGTACTTAAAAATAGCACAAAGTGGAAAGTAGGTTCAAAGGTTGCAAAAGTTGATAGAGTGGTTGTAAATATGGCACCAAAAATTAAAATTCAATTTTTTGAACTAGGTGAATAAATAAAATGTTGATTTCTTTAATAAATCATAGATTTTGATTCGTCTAATATCCACGTGGACACTGATTTGTTCCGTTTCTTCCAAAATTCAAATATCATAACAATTCTGACATGACATTGAAATTAAAAGTTTCCACCATTACTAAGCAGTGGCAAATTTATAATATTTTAACATTTCGTAGGTTACTAGATATTTCAGGAAAAATTTTGCGATTTTTTTTTAAATAAATATAACAATTGATTCGTACAATGTAACACTAATGACAACGATATTGTACTATGTAAAAATCAAAGTATCGAAAAAATAATAAAAAACAATCAAAGACAGCCATAGAATGACTGTCTTTGACCGTGTTTTTTATTGCCCTCTTGCTATGTTATCAAAACGGGAACGACATTGGATTTCCATTTATATTTTTTGTAATTATTGATTTTTCTACTTCTTGAACGTAATCTAAGGAAGTGTTGTAGTCGAGTCCATTGCACGACTGGCTACTTTTATGTTTTTCGACGTTTCGTGACCCTTAGAGTGCGAAAAAATAGGCCCCCGTTTCCGTTCGTCTGTCCGAATTTTTATTAGACAGATAATTTCCGAAACTACTGGACCGATTGTTGTCGAATAATCATGATAGATCGTTAATCAAAATTTTGGCGATTAATTCCGCTCTAAAATATGCAAAATTTTATGACTCTGTAATTGTGGTTTATCAATTCAGTCATGGATTTTAGAATTACTAATACAGGCTGACTGAAAAAGTTAATAAATGAGGCAGTTTATTGTATTGATTAAATTAAAGAACGACTCGCTCCATTTTTTCGAAAATTTGTGTTATGTGTGATCGTAAAAAAATTAAAATTCGTAATATCAAATAAAATCAAATCAAATTTTTTGAAAATTCTGAATTTATTTATTTACCTTCGAACAATTTTTATTTTCATTTTTTTCGATTTTACAATTTTGCAGTTTTTCCATTTTTTAATTGGAAAAGTTGATAAATCGAAAAACTGCAAAAACAAAAAAGTGAAAAATTTAAAAATACCAAATCGAAGAAACAAAAAATCGAAACATTGCAAAACTAAAAATCGGACAATTTAACAACTGAAAAAAATAATGAATCGAAAAATTGAAAAGTATCAAACAATGATAGAATCGTCAAAATTATAAAGTCGAAACACACTGAAAAATCAAAAATTGAAAAATTAAATATCCAGCATTTAAAAAATTTAAAATCCAATAATGATAATTAAAACATGGTATACTTTTAAAATAATCAAATTGAAAAAGCGAAAAATTTTATATATTACATATTTAAAATGAAAACTAGAAAAATTGCAAATCAAATTTGAAGAAACGAAAAATTGAAAAATCGAGAAACTGAAAAATCTAAAATAAAAAAACTGAAAATTAGGAAATCAAAACATCGAAAAATTGTAAAAATAAAGAAAATAAAAACCGAAACCAAAACTTGCAAATCGAAAATTTGAAAAAACAAAAAATTAAAGAATCTAAAAATTGAAAACCCGGGAAACTTTAAATCGAAAAATTGCAAAATATAAAAATTGAAAAATTCTACACTTTAAAGAAAGAATTAGAAAAACAATACAGAAAAACCGGAAAATTCAAAAATTAAGAGAATTAAAAACACACGAAAAATTGAGGAAACGAAAAACTGAAAAATATAAAAATTAAAAAAATTGAAAACTCGCGAAATTGAAAATCGAAAGATTCAAAGTTTGAAAATCGGAAAACTAAAAAATTTATCGATGAAAACTCGAAGAGATCGTATCATAGCATCGAAGGAACAAAAAAATGAAAAATTGAAAAATTGCGTCGAAAAACTGAATAAACGAAACATTAAAAAAAAAAACAAAAAATTATAACATCGAAAATTTGTAAAAATAAAGAAAATTAGAAATCGAAACCAAAAATTACGGATCGAAGATTTGAAGAAATAAAAAATCAAAGAATTGAAAAACTGAAAATTTTAAACTTGTAAACTCGAAAAATTACAAATCGACAAATTGAAAAATTTAACATTTTAAAGGAGAAAAATTATAAAAGGAGAACATAGAAAAACCGAAAAATTGAAAAAATGAAGAAAATAAAAACTCAAACAAAAAACTCAAAAATATAACATGACATAACATAACATCCAAATCCAAAAATAACAAGCGAAACATCTGAAGAAACGAAACATTGGAAAAAAACAAAAAATGTTGAAATCGAAATTTTGTACAAATAAAAAAAAATAAAAATCGAAGAACTTTAACCAAAAAAATGAAAAATTGATAAGCCCAAATCGAAAAATTGAAAACCGAAAAATTCTAAATCGAAAAATTTTACATTTAAAAATTTGTAAAAAAAATCGAAACCAAAAGTTACAGACCGAAAAATCAAAAAATTGAAAAACAAAATTTTAAATTTGAACACTTGAAAAATTCCAAATCGAAAAACTTAAACCAAAAAAATGAAAAATTGATAAGCCCAAATCGAAAAATTTCACATTAAAAAGGAGAAAAATTAGAAAATCAAAACATAAAAAAAGCGAATAATTGAAAAAATGAAGAAAATAAAAAACTGAAACGAAAAATTGCAAATCGAAAAATTAAGGAAACGAAAAACTGAAAAATGTAAAACTCAAAAAATTAAAAACACGTGAAATTGAAAATCCAAAAATAACAAGCGAAACATCCGAAGAAACGAAACATTAAAAAAAAAATTATCGAAAATTTGTAAAAATAAAAAAAAATAAAAAATTGAAAAACGAAATTTTAAATTTGAAAACTCGAAAAATTACAAATCGAAAAACTTAAACCAAAAAATGAAAAATTGATAAGCCTAAATCGAAAAATTGAAAACCGAAAAATTCCAATTCGAAAAATTTTACTTTAAATGGAGAAAAATTAGAAAATCAGAAAATAGAAAATGCGAAAAATTGAAAAAATTAAGAAAATAAAAAACTGAAGCGAAAAATTGAAAATCGAAAAATTAAGGAAACGAAAAACTGAAAAATGTAAAACTTAAAGAATTGAAAATCCAAAAATAACAAGCGAAACATCCGAAGAAACGAAACATTGAAAAAAAATAATAAAAAATCGAAACCAATAGTTACAGACCGAAGATTTGAAGAAATAAAAATCAAAAAATTGAAACACAAAATTTTAAATTTGAAAACTCGAAAAATTACAAATCGAAAAATTCCGATTCGAAAAATTTTACATTAAAAAGGAGAAAAGTTAGAAAATAAGAACATAGAAAAATTGAAAAAATGAAGAAAATAAAAAACTGAAGCGAAAAATTGCAAATCGAAAAATTAAGGAAACGAAAAACTGAAAAATATAAAACTCAAAGAATTGAAAATCCAAAAATAACAAGCGAAATATCCGAAGAAACGAAACAAAAAATTATATAATCCAAAATTTGTAAAAAAAAATTGAAAAACGGAAAATTTTAAATTAAAATTTGAAAAATTGAAGATACAAAATATGTAAATGGAAAATTGATAAGCCCAAGTCGAAAAATTCCAATTCGAAAAATTTTACATTAAAAAGGAGAAAAAATAGAAAATCAAAACATAGAAAAAGCGAAAAATTGAAAAAATGAAAATAATATACTGAAAAGAAAAATTGCAAATCGAAAAATTGAGGAAACGAAAAACTGAAAAATATAAAAATAAAAAAATTGAAAATCGAAAAATAACAAGCGAAACATTGAAAAGAAAAACCAAAAAAGTGAAAAATTTTACATATTAAATTAGAAAAATTATTTAAATCAGAACATAGAAAAACCGAAAAATTGGAAAAATTAAGAAAATAAAAAACTGAAATTAAAAATTGCAAATCGAAAAATTGAGGAAACGAAAAACTGAAAAATTTAGCAATGAAAACTCGAGGAGATGAAAAATTGAGTCAAAAAACTGCAGAAACGAAACATTGAAAAAAAAACAAAAAATTATAAAATCGGAAATTTGTAAAAATAAAGAAAATAAAAAACCGAAACCAAAAATTACAGATTGAAAATTTGAAGAAATAAAAAATCAAAGAATCAAAAGTGGTAAAATTATAAAATCGAAAAATTGGCAAAATGAAGAAAATAGAAAACCAAAGCTTGCAAATCGAAAATTTGAAGAAACAAAATTAAAGAATCTAAAAATTGAAAGCTCAAGAAACTTTAAACAGAAAACTTGCAAAACGTAAAAATTGAAGATTCAAAAAAAATTAAAAAAATGTACATTTAAAGGAGAAAAATTAGAAAATCAGAACATAGAAAAAGCGAAAAATTGAAAAAATGAAGAAAATGAAAAACTGAAACGAAAAATTGCAAACCGAAAAATTGAGGAAACGAATAACTGAAAAATATAAAAATCAAAAAATCGAAAACTCTTGAAATTGAAAATCCAAAAATAAAAAGCGAAACATCCAAAGTTGGAAAATCGGAAAATTGAAAAATTTAACGATGAAAACTCGAGGAGATGCATATCTTAGGATTGAAGAAACAAGAAAATTAAAAATTGGAAAATTGCGTCGAAAAACTGAAACGAGAAGCATTAAAAAAAACGAAAAATTATAAAATACAAAATTTGTAAAAATAAAGAAGATAAAAAATCGAAACCAAAAATTACAAATCGAAAATTTGAAGAAATACAAAATTAAAGAATTCCAAAATTGAAAAAATGGAATACAAAAAAACTGAAATATTCAAAAGTCGTAAAATTATAAGATCGCGGCTAGAAAAATCGAAAATTTGAAGATACAAAATAAATGAAAAATTGATAATCCCAAATCGGAAAATTGAAAACCGAAAAATTGAAAAATTTCACATTTAAAAGGAGAACAACCGAAAACTTTTGAAAAATGAATAAAATAAACTGAAACGAAAAATTGAGGAAACGAAAAACTGAAAAATATAAAAATCCAAAATTTGAAAACTCGTGAAATTGAAAATCCAAAAACAACAAGTGAAACATCCAAAGTTGGAAAATCAGAAAAATGAAAAACTTAACGATGAAAACTCAAGGAGATGCATATCGTAGTATTGAAGAAACAAAAATAAGAAAAATTGCGTCGAAAAACTGAAGAAACGAAACAGAAAAAGAAACAAAATTATAAAATTGATAATTTGTAAAAATAAAGAAAATAAAAAACCAAAACCAAAAATTAAGAGATCGAAAATTTGAAGAAATAAAAAATCAAAAAAATTGAAAAACTTAAAATTTCAAAATTTCAAACTTGAAAACTCGAAAAATTACAAATCGAAAAACTTAAACCAAAAAAATGAAAAATTAAACATACAAAATAAATGAAAAATTGAAAAATCCAAAAATTGAAAAAATGAGAATCGAGAAATTAAGGAAGCGAAAAACTCAAAAATATAAAAATCAAAAAATCGAAAACTCGTGAAATTGAAAATCCAAAAATAACAAGCGAAACATGCAAAGTTGGAAAATCGGAAAACTGAAAAATTGCGCCGACAAACTGAAGAAACGAGAGATTGAAAAAAAAACAAAAAATTATAAAAATCGAAAATTTTAAACGTGAAAACTCGAAAAACTTATACTAAAAAAATGAAAAACTGAAAATCGAAAAATCGAGGAAGCAAAAACTGAAAAATTTAACAATGAAAAGGAAATGCATCTCGTAGGATTGAAGAAACAAAAAAACTGAAGAAGCGAGACATTGAAAAAATCGAAACCAATTTAGCAGCATTTTGAGATGACGTAATACTTTAAATAATAACATAATATTAAAAAAAATGTCATAAAATTTATTTTTCTAACTTAATTTTTTTAGGATAAAAAAAATAAATCAGAGTTGACCGTGATTTCAGGACTTCAGTTGGCACTCTTTTACGGGAAACACCTCCTTAAAGTAGCATTTTAATCACACGAGTTTGTGAATATTTGTTAATTAAATATATCCAAGAATATATTATCAACGGTTTATTTTTCGCCCACAGAACTCGCCACAGATAAACATTAGATACCAGAAGTAAAAAGAAAATTTTATCTAATCGCTAACCACATGTTTGTATTTTTAGTAACATAACGAAATCCATAAATCAACACTCGTAATAATTTATTATAATTATGTAGGTATTTTTTGTTTTTTTTTTATGCACGACTTCCGCATTAATTTATTATTTCACATGACAAATTAACCACAACATTGTAAAAAATTTACATAATTCATAGTTTTTATTCAAGGCGTAAATTGTTGATAAAGAAATTCCACAGAAGAATTAAACAATAAATTTCATTTACTGCAAGTAACGATCACTTTAAAGGTGAAATTAACATAAGAAAACTGGTTTCAACTCGTTTTATGTTTGTTTGTTGCAACGTATTAATAATGTTCAACAAAATTTATTATCGTTCATATTAATTATGTCGACGGCATTTACTTGATTTATGGACGCCATTTTGTCGCAATGTGCTACCTAACCTCAAATTTGAAATTATTTTCCAGGTTTACCGCCTTCAGGATCCTGGCAGGACTTGAAAGACCACATGCGCGAAGCAGGGGACGTTTGTTTCGCGGACGCCTTCAAGGACGGGTCCGGAGTGGTAGAATTCTTGCGCTACGAGGACATGAAGTACGCCATCAAGAAACTGGACGATTCGAGATTTAGGTCTCACGAGGTGAGTTCGAATTTTGTGAGGTTCGTTTTTCAACCGGAAAGGGTCGCCAGGGCGAAGTTTCCTACATAAGGGTGAAGGAAGACCGCGGAGGCAGCGACAGACGCTCGGGTGGAAGGTCCCGAAGCCGCTCATACTCACCACGCCGACGAGGTTCTCCCACCTACAGTCCAGTCAAGAGAAGTTACTCAAGAAGCCGTTCACGTTCCTAATTCGTTTTAACCTCCTCTACGGACTGGCCTTTTTGTATAATGTACGTATCAAAAAACAACAAAAAAAAGTATGCGGGGCTTTGATTTCGATTTGATTTGAAACCACACAAGCAAATATCACGAGAAAAAAATCGGTTGGTTACCTTGGAATTATTTTCATTTTGTAAATGTGAATGTGGTGTAGTTTTCTCTTGTCTTGTAAGTGACATTCCTCGAGAATCGGTTTTTTTTCTCTTCCACTGATGTAATTTTTTTTATATATATATATTAAATTTTTAATGATCGATACAAAACGTAGGTTAGAGTACGATAAGGCACTAATATGTATTGTTTCTTTTTCTGTTACCGTACAATTTGCTGAGTCAATCAGCGTTGGACTGGTTTTTGGAAAAAATAAAGTCGCTAGTAAAATATAGACAATAAAATGTTATCTTTGACACACCTGGATGCAAGAGGAGTGGATGAATGTTGTTAGGAGGGAGTCTCAAAGATCGTGGAGGAGGATTTTAATAACTTTTAAACACACTATGCATTGCATTTTTCGGAGTGTTAAGAGGACACCAAACCCCCTTCACACAATTAAAGGCTCGGTAAATAGTTATTCAATTCTTTAACATTCAAACACTTATTTGCAACTTCAAAAAAAAGAGAGAAATTAACACGTTTCTTTGGATTTCTGATCGAGAATCAGTGTTTAAACGAGATGTTTTGCAATGCGATAGGTCTCACAAACACGGATTTTGATCTCCACTTCACCGGGGAGGAAGGACAAACTCCTAGGATTAGGATTTTTTAAATTGATAAAAGTAGTAATTTCGTGGGATTTTAATACTTTTCCTAGGATTTTGGCGATGAAGTGGATTTATACTGTTTGATCATGAGGATTAGGATATAGGATTACTAGGATTAGGATGAGTGTGCCGGAAGGACCTCATGGATTTATTCCCAGGTATTTGAGACTTCTTTTTGTTTTTATTTTTCTTTTTAATCAATTGTTTTATAATTTGCTTGACAAAGTGTGGCTTTTTGTTGTTTTCACAGTGCATGTTTATTTAAATAAAAGAATATGAAGAATCCAGTATTTTATTCATTATCATACAACCTGACGATATCCAATGGCTTTGCTGGAAGATTCGTAACGGGACACTTTTGGTTCTCCCTCAAGTACCTCAGGATGCACGGAAAGCAGAAGACGTAGCCGGAAACGGGAAGCACTGTGGGTATTTTCCAAAATTGCAAACAAACGGGACACTTATTTTGGTAATTACGGGCCTTCCCGTCCAGCTGAAATTACTCATTACACCCCTGTCTAAACTCACACAATCAAGTTACCATTGGAGCTTTGACAGTTGGTAGAGCTGTCATACTAAAATTACTCTGCTGCGCACTCCAAGCCTCCACGAACTGCAAGAAAAAGGCGCCGACTTCGAACGTAGTCGTGATCGCATTTTTCAAAATATTCAGCTGCCACAAGTCCCGAAACTGCCCCTTGAGCAAAGTCGACCAGAAACCGACCTCCTCGGGAGGCGGCTCCCCGTAAGTCAACTTAACATTTATAAACTTGAACAGGGGCAACTGCGCCTCAGACTCCCCCGCCATGTACTTAATGTAGTTGTAGACGGTGAGGAGCCCCCACGTCACTTCGAAACTCGAGTGAGAAAAAATCAGCAATTTCTTGAAGCGACCCTCGAAATTCTGGTGACAATTACAAAATCCCTAGTGACTAAAGGTTGGTAACACTTACATTGCGCAAACACCCGTCGGCTTGCTCCAGACGGTACAGCGCCACTTTTTCGTCCAATTTTCGCTTGAAATAGGGCAACAAGACGCTAAAAAGCAGCGAAATGCGTCTGTGGTGCTCCGACAAGGTTGCGTTATTGTCAAGGACGCGCTTGAGGCCGTAGAAATTTTCCGAAAACGTCGCATCTGCAAAGTCGCGTTATCACAAATCAAAACTGAGCGAAACTCACCATAGTTGCGCAAATATCCGTACTGCAGTCCGAAGTTCAAAATCAGGAACACCTCGTCGTAGTGCTTGCCCAACCAATTAAACTTCCGAGGGGCGTTCGTAGCTAAAAACTACACCACGTGATTCGGCGACACACTTAAACAATCTTACCAAAGCGACTTTCTGCAGCGCCGGGTGCAGCGTGTCGTTGAGCGACTTGGAGGCGATCACCTCGAAAATCGAGGGTTTGTTTTGGGTCGTGAAGGTGAAATTGGCCGCGTTTTCCGCCATTATTCGAACGTCACGTTGGCAGCACTGTTTGAGGTTAGGTTAGTCGGACTCGCGGTTTCGCATTTTTTGTTTTTTGTTTTCGATAAACGGACTTAGGGCTTCCGCTTGCGTTCGTTTTTGGTCACTTTGTTGTCGTTATCGTGCACGTGGGGCGATTACGGTGAACCGTGACATCGATGTTTTCCGCATTGTTGCCAACTGCCGGTGTCAGATGTCAGTAGGTTATGTCAAATTCGAACGTGTCCATATGTTTACGTAAATAAGAAACGAGATTTAAAATGGAGTGATTAGTACAAATTTAGGCTGTGACAATTGAAAATGTATGGAGTAGTTTTAGCGACGGTACTTATTAACGCGGTTGTGTGTGATGATTTGCTCGCGGTGGTTGTGGTAAGTGGGGGGGCACCCTGGGGGGTGGTTTTGAGGTTTTGGGTAGATTTACAGGCATGGAGACAGGACCCCCATTCAGCCGTACCCCACGGACCCGTACAGGAACGCGTCGTATTGGCCAGTGGGCTTCGGACAGCTGACAAATGTAAGTTACACACTTGTAAGTATGGTAATTAAGACAGGGTTTATTGAGGTGTAGCTGTAACGATAATAACATTGATAAGGTTTTATCAGTGAGGAAAATTATGCGTTCGTTTCGGTAATAAAACTATTTAATTAATTTTTTTTCATTAACTGTGAGAAAAACGCACGATTTTCGCTTGTCATTTTGATTAGTCTCTTGAATGGACAATGGGGGTTTTGTGTGGTAAACAAAGAGAAAAAGTTTCTAAAAATATAGTGGGAATGTTGCTTAATAATAATAGAAATACGTCGTATTTCGTACTGTTTGTGCAATTGTATAAACAAAAACTTGGCTGATTATGCATTAGTAACAATCTAATTATGATAAAATTCAAATATTCGCCATTTCCATAAAAAAAAGTTTACGTTAAAACGTTAAAAATATCACTTAGAATAATAAAAAATTGACAACAGTTGGAGATAACGTGGAAGTGGAAATCCCAACATGCTTATATAACTATGTTCTCTGATATAACCTACGATAGCCACGTCCGGAAGTTCGTTTTTTTCCTCATTTTCCTTTTCGTTCTATGTTGCGTATTTTACATAAAACCGTCTTTGTTGTCAGAAACGCAAACATTTAATTATTTTTGCAATAAAGATAATTGACGTGCGTCGGCGATAATTTCAGAAAATCGAATTAATCAGAGTTGGCGGTGTCTGTCAAGCTTCAGGTGGTACTACTGGTTTATTTAATCAGTAGGTACCATAAATTGCTTAATTCATTTTTTCAGGCAATCTGTGTAAGCAAAACTAAATAATATTAATGCACTGATAAATAAATAAATAAATAAATAACTGCAGACGCATACAAAATATCGATTTATAAACAAATAAATTTTGATTAGCGGTTTATCGTGTCTACGGTTAAGTTGTAAACTGTTGTTTTAACAGTCTTAATTTTTTTCCAAAAATTTAAAATGTGCAAAATATTTAGTAATGTAATATGTTTCTATTCGGTAACTTATTTATTAATCCGGCCTTATTTTTAACATGACGCATGTTATGTGCTACAGGGGCATGGGAAGTTCTTTAGATGAGTTTCTTTCTTTTTTAAATTGAAAGCCCTGGGAGTCCTCGGTTTTTTTATTTTTGGAAGAATCTTGAGGACTTTTGTGCTTTCTTTTTGAAAGAGAAATATCGGGAACCCCTTCTTCTTTTTTTTAATAAAACCTCAGAGGACCCCTGGTGTTTCATTTTTTAAATTGTTTGAAAGAGTTTGGAAGAATCTCGGGGACACCTTTTGTTTAATTTTAAAAGAGTTTGAAAGAATCTGGGGTCCCCTTCTGTTTTCTCTTCAACAGAGTTTAAAAGAATCTCGGGGACCCCTTGTGTTTTATTTTTAAAAGAATTTAAAAGAATCTCGGGGTCTCCTTCTGTTTTATCTTTAAAAAAATTTGAAATAATCTCGGGTCCTCTCCAGTTTTATCTTTAAAAGAGTTTGAAAGAATCTAAAAGATCGTGGACTTTCAGTGTTTGAAAATGGTTGAAAAATTTCGGGGGAATCCTGTTTTTTTTTAAGTTTGAAAAAATTTCGGCATCACTTTCTATATATTTTTTTTAAAGAGTTTGAAAGAATCTTGTGGTCCCCTTCGGTTTATCTTTAAAGAGTTTGAAGGACTCTTCGGGGCAGATTTTGTTTAATTTAAAAAGAGTTTGAAAGAATCTAAAGGATCTTTGACGTTCAGTTTTTGAAAATGTTTGAAGAATCTCTGGGAATCCTGGGTTTAATTTTTTAAAAAGTTTGACAGAATCTCGGCATCACTTTCTATTTTCTTTTTAAAAGAGTTTAAAAATACCTTGGAGACATGTTCTATTTAATTTAAAAAGAGTTTAAAAGAATCTCGGGGTCCCCTTCTGTTTTATCTTTAAAAGAGTTTGAAAGAATCTCGGGGATACTTTCTGTTTAATTTAAAAAGAGTTTGAAAGAATTTCGGGATCCCCTTTTGTTTTATCTTTAAAAGAGTTTGAAAGAATTTAAAGGATCTTTGTCGTTCAGTTTTTGAAAATGTTGAAAGAATCTCGGGGTCCCCTTCTGTTTTATCTCTAAAAGAGTTTGAAAGAATCTCGGGGACACTTTCTATTTAATTTAAAAAGAGTTTGAAAGAACCTAAAGGATCCTTGTTCAATTTTTGAAAATGTTTGAAAGAATCTCGGAGGGATCCTGGGTTTCCTTTTTTAAAGAATTTGAAAGAATCCCGAGGTCCCTTCCTGTCTATTTTATTTTCAAGAGATTGAAAGAACCTCAAAGTCCAATTCTGTTTTATTTTTGAGAGAGTTTGAAAGAATCACGGGGTCCCCTTCTGTTTTATCTCTAAAAGAGTTTGAAAGAATCTCGGGGACATTTTTTATTTAATTTAAAAAGAGTTTGAAAGAACCTAAAAGATCCTTGTTGTTCAATTTTTGAAAATGTTTGAAAGAATCTCGGAGGGATCCTGGGTTTCCTTTTTTAAATAATTTGAAAGAATCCCGAGGTCCCTTCCTGTCTATTTTATTTTCAAGAGTTTGAAAGAACCTCAAAGTCCAATTCTGTTTTATTTTTGAAAGAGTTTGAAAGAATCACGGGGTCCCCTTCTGTTTTATCTCTAAAAGAGTTTGAAAGAATCTCGGGGACACTTTCTATTTAATTTAAAAAGAGTTTGAAAGAACCTAAAGGATCCTTGTCGTTCAATTTTTGGAAATGTTTGAAAGAATCTCGGAGGGATCCTGGGTTTCATTTTTTAAAGAATTTGAAAGAATCCCGAGGTACCTTCCTGTCTATTTTATTTTCAAGAGTTTGAAAGAACCTCAAAGTCCAATTCTGTTTTATTTTTGAAAGAGTTTGAAAGAATCACGGGGTCCACTTCTGTTTTATCTCTAAAAGAGTTTGAAAGAATCTCGGGGACACTTTCTATTTAATTTAAAAAGAGTTTGAAAGAACCTAAAAGATCCTTGTCGTTCAATTTTTGAAAATGTTTGAAAGAATCTCGGAGGGATCCTGGGTTTCCTTTTTTAAAGAATTTGAAGGAATCCCGAGGTCCCTTCCTGTCTATTTTATTTTCAAGAGTTTGAAAGAACCTCAAAGTCCAATTCTGTTTTATTTTTGAAAGAGTTTGAAAGAATCACGGGGTCCACTTCTGTTTTATCTCTAAAAGAGTTTGAAAGAATCTCGGGGACACTTTCTATTTAATTTAAAAAGAGTTTGAAAGAACCTAAAAGATCCTTGTCGTTCAATTTTTGAAAATGTTTGAAAGAATCTCGGAGGGATCCTGGGTTTCCTTTTTTAAAGAATTTGAAGGAATCCCGAGGTCCCTTCCTGTCTATTTTATTTTCAAGAGTTTGAAAGAACCTCAAAGTCCAATTCTGTTTTATTTTTGAAAGAGTTTGAAAGAATCACGGGGTCCCCTTCTGTTTTATCTCTAAAAGAGTTTGAAAGAATCTAAAAGATTGTTGACTTTGAACGTTTGAAAATGTTTGAAAAATCTCGGGAGGATCGTGGATTTTATATATTTTTTTAAGTTTGAAAAAATTTCGGCATCGCTTTCTATTTTCTTTTTGAAATTTGAAAGAATTTCGGGGTCACCTTTTGTTTAATTTAAAAAGAGTTTGAAGGAATCTCGGGGACACTTTCTGTTTAATTTATAAAGAGTTTGAAAGAATTTCGGGATTGCCTTCTGTTTGATCTTTAAAAGAGTTTGAGAGAATCTAAAGGATCCTTGTCGTTCAATTTTTGAAAATGTTGAAAGAATCTCGGAGGGATCCTGGGTTTCATTTTTTAAAGAATTTGAAAGAATCCCGAGATCCCTGTCTATTTTATTTTCAAGAGTTTGAAAGAATCTAAAAGATCGTTGACTTTCAATGCCTGAAAATGTTTGAAAAATCTCGAGAGAATCCTGTTTTATTTTTTTTTTAAGTTTGAAAAAATTTCGGCATCACTTTCTATTTTCTTTTTGAAAGAGTTTGAAAGAATCTTGGGGATACCTTTTGTTTAATTTAAAGATAGTTTGTAGGAATCTTGGGGCAGATTTTGTTTAATTTAAAAAGAGTTTGAAAGAATCTAAAGGATCTTTGACGTTCCGTTTTTGAAAATGTTTGAAGAATCTCGGGGAATCCTGGGTTTCATTTTTTAAAAAGTTTGACGGAATCTCGGCATCACTTTCTATTTTCTTTTTGAAAGAGTTTAAAAATATCTTGGAGACATGTTCTGTTTAATTTAAAAAGAGTTTGAAAGAATTTCGGGGTCCCCTCTAGTTTTATCTTTAAAAAAGTTTGAAAGAATGTAAAAGATCGTTAACGTTCAATGTTTGAAAAATCTCGGGCAAATCCTGGGTTTTATTTTTTTTTTTAGTTTGAAAAAATTTCAGCATCACTTTCTATTTTCTTTTTGAAAAAGTTTGAAAGAATCTCGGGGACACGTGTTTAATTTAGAAAGAGTGTGAAAGAATCTTGTGGTCCCCTCCGGTTTTATCTTTAAAAGAGTTTGAAAGAATCTAAAGGATCTTTGACGTTCAGTTTTTGAAAATGTGTGGAAGAATCTCGGGATCACTTCTATTTTCTTTTTGAAAGAGTTTGAAAATACCTCGGAGGCATCTTCTGTTTTATTTAAAAAGAGTTTGAATGAATCCCGGAGTCCCTTTCTGTTTTATCTTTAAAAGAGGTTAAAAGAATCTCGGGATCCCATCCGATTTTATTTTTGAAAGAGTTTGAAAGAATCTCGGAGACACCTGTCTAATTTAGAAAGAGTGTGAAAGAATCTTGGGGTCCTCTTCTGTTTTATCTTTAAAAGAGTTTGAAACAATCTGGAGGTTCCCTTGGTTTATTTTTGAAGCAGTTTGAAAGAATCTCGGGGACCCCTGAGGTTTCATTTTTGGAAGTGTTTGGAAGAATCGCGAGGTCCCTAAATATTTTGTTTTTATAATATTTTGAAAGAACCTTGGAAACCCCTTTTATTTTATTTTTAAAATAATCTCGGGATCTCCTTCTATTTTATCTCTAAGAGTTTGAAAGAACCTGGGGTACCCCTGAAGTTTGATTTTTGAAAATGTTTAAAAGAATCTCGAGGGACTCCTGGGTTTCGTCTTTTAAAGAATTTGAGAGCTCTTTTTCAATTTGAAAGAATCTTAGGGTCTCCCTCCTGTTTTATTTTTAAAGAGTTCGAAATAATCTCTGGAACTCCTTTTGTTGTATTTTTGAAAGAGTGAAAGAATCTAGGGGACCCCTTTTTGAAAATGTTTGAAGGAATGTTGTTGAAGTCTTCCTTTGAATTTTGGAAAAACCCTTTTTATTTTATTTTTAAAATAATCTCGGGATCTTCTATTTTATCTCTAAAGGAGTTTGAAAGAATCTCGGGGAACTCCCGGGTTTCGTTTTTTAAAGAGTTTGGGAACTCTTTTTCTATTTTATTCTTAAAAGAGTTTGAAAGACTCTTAGGGTATTTTGGTCTCCTTCTTTTTTATTTTTGAAAGAGTTTGAAAGAATCTCGAGAACCCATTCGATTTTGTTTCAAGGAGTTTGAAGGAATCTTGAAAACCCTTTTGGTTTTATTTTTTTTTTAGAATCTCGAGGTACCTGCTGTTGCATTTTAAAAGTTTCTAATTCTAATTTATTTCTAAAAGAGTTTGAAAGAATCTCGGAGTCCCTTTTGTTTTATTTTTGGAAGAGTTTGAACGAATGTTCGGAATTCTTTCTGTTTAATCTTTGAAAGAGTATGAAAGAATCTTGGAGGTCCCTAGCTCCTTTTTTTAAGAGTATGATAGAATCTGGGGTACCTCTTCTGTTTTATTTTTCAAAATCTTTGAAAGATTCTCAGAGAAATTTTTGATTTCATTGTTTAAAGAGTTTGAAAGAATTTCGGGGTCCTCTTCTGTTTTATCCTTAAAAGAGTTTGAAAAAATCTCGGCGATCTTTTCTATTTTACTTTTAAAAGAATTTAAAAGAATCGCGGGGCCCCCTTCTATTTTATTTTTGAAAAGGTTTAAAAGAATCTCGGAGGACCCCTGTTGTTTCATTTTTTAAAGAATTTGAAAGAATGTTGGGAATCCTCCCTTTAATTTTTGAACCAGTTTGAAAGAATCTTGGCGGTCCCCAGTTCTTTTTTTTTTAAGAATCTTGGGATCCACTTCTTTATTATCTTTAAAAGAGTTTGAAAGAATCTCGGGGATCCCTTCTGTTTAATTTTTGAAAAGGGTTAAAAGAATCTCGGAGGACCCCTTCTGTTTTATTTTTAATAGAATTTACAAGAATCTTGGGGACCTTTCCTGTTTTATTTTTTAAAGTGTTTAAAGTAATCTTGGGGATCCCTTCTATTTAATTTTTGAAAAGGTTTAAAAGAATCTCGGAGGACCCCTGTTGTTTCATTTTTTAAAGAGTTTGAAAGAATCACGGGTCCCCATGTTTTATTCTTAAAAGAGTTTGAAAGAATGTTGGAAATCCTCTCTCTTTAATCTTTGAAAGAGTTTGAAGGAATCTTGGAGGTCCCTAATTCTTTTTTTTTTTAAGAATATGAATCTGGGGGACCTGATCTGTTTTATTTTTGAAAATGTTTGAGAAAATGTCGGGGAAACCCTGGGTTTCATTGTTTAAAGAGTTTGAAAGAATTTCGGGGACACCTGTTTAATTTTAAAAAAGTGCGAAAGAATCGTGGGATCTCCTTCTTTTTTGTCTTTAAAAGAGTTTGAAGGAATCTCGGGGACTCCTTCTATTTTATTTTTGAAAAAGTTTAAAAGAATCTCGAAGGACCCCTTTTGTTTTATTTTTAATAGAATTTGAAATAATTTCGGGGACCCCTTCTATTTTATTTTTAATAGAATTTAAAAGAATCTCGGGGACCCCTTCTATTTTAGTTTTGAAAAGGTTTAAAAGAATCTCGGGGACTTTTTCTGTTTTATTTTTTAAAGTGTTTAAAGTAATCTTGGGGACCCCTTCGGTATAATTTTAAAAAGAATTTGAAAGAATCTCGGTGGACTCCTTTTGTTTTATTTTTAATAGAATTTCGGGGACTCCTGTTTAATTTTAAAAGAGTGCGAAAGAATCGTGGGATCCCCTTCTTTTTTTTGTCTTTAAAAGAGTTTGAAAGAATCTCGGAGACTCCTTCTATTTTATTTTTGAAAAAGTTTAAAAGAATCTCGAAGGACCCCTTTTGTTTTATTTTTAATAGAATTTAAAAGAATCTCGGGGACTTTTTCTGTTTTATTTTTTAAAGTGTTTAAAGTAATCTTGGGGACCCCTTCTGTATAATTTTAAAAAGAATTTTAAAGAATCTAGGGGCCCCTTTTATTTAATTTTTGAAAAGGTTTAAAAGAATCTCGGTGTACCCCTTTTCTTTTATTTTTAATAGAATTTAAAAGAATTTTGGGGACTCCTTCTATTTTGTTTTTGAAAAAAAGGTTTAAAAGAATCTCGGAAGACCTCTTCTGTCTTATTTTTAACACAATTTAAAAGAATCTCGGGGACGTCTTCTATTTTGTTTTTGAAAAGGTGTAAAGAATCTCGGGGTCTCCTTGTTTTATTTTTAAAAGAGTTTGAAAGAATCTTGGAGGTCGCTAGTTCTTTTTTTCAAGATTATGAAAGAATCTCTGGCATCTTTTCTGTTTCATTTTTGAAAGTCTTTAAAGAATAGGGAACCCCTTCTTTTTTATTTTTAATAGAATTTAAAAGAGTCTCAGGGACCCCTAATGTTTAATTTTTTAAAGAGTTTGAAGAATCTCGGGTTCCCTTGTTTTATTTTTAAAAGAGTTTAAAGGAATGTTGGGAATCCTCTCTCTTTAATCTTTGAAAGATTTTGAAAGAATCTTGGAGGTTCCTAGTTCTTTTTTTTAATATGATAGAATCTGGGGGACCCCTTCGATCTTATTTTTGAAAGTGTTTGAAAGAATCTCAGGGAAATCCTGGGTTTCTTTGTTTAAATTGTTTGAAAGAATTTCGGGGTCCCCTTCTGTTTTATCTTTAAAAGGGTTTGAAAGAGTCTCGGAGGACCCCTTCTGTTTTATTTTTAATGGAATTTAAAAGAATTTCGGAGGACCCCGGTTGTTCCATTTTTTTAAAGAGTTTGAAAGAATCTCGGAAGACCCCTGTTGATTAATTTTTTAAGGAGTTCCTTCTGTTTTTTTTTTGAAAGAGTTTGAAAGAATTTAAAGGATCTTTGACGTTCAATTTTTGAAAATATTTGAAGGAATGTCCTGGGTTTCATTTTTTAAAGAATTTAAAACAATCTCGAGGTCCCTTTCTATTTTATTTTTGAAAGGGTTTAAAACAATTTTGGAGACCACCCGTGTTTTGTTTACGAGTCAATTTGAGACCCTGGGGAAATCTTAAAACAGTTGCAAGATTTCAGAGGTGGGATTTTATTTCTGCCGATACGATACGAAGCGATAAATGACAAGGACGAAAATATCAATTTCAGATGCGAAAGAAAAGGAGGACCACATTTTATCGGTACCGATATTTTATCGTTATAGAAACAAAATCCCACTCCAGAGCAATTGTTTGCACTATTCTAAATTAAATTGTACAATGGTCTATAATTTTGATTTTCATTCGAAGAATCTAGACGTCGAAAGCAAGAAATAAGGTCGGACTAATAAACCACAAGCACTTTGCATAATTTTGAGATGACGTCATCAAATGTTGATGGACATGATTAAAATAAAATAAAATCGTCAATGCACGACAGACGGAAATGGCGGACCTACTTTTCCACACTCTAAGAATAAAAAACTTACAATTTGTTCACCCGCAGTTGGGCAAAATGCAGCACTACCTCTTGGGTAAATGGCTCCGCGACCGCTACGCCTCCTTCCTCTCGCCCCACTACTCCGAGAAGGACTTCTACCTCCGCTCGACCGACGCCGACCGCACCCTCATGTCGGCCGAAGCCAACCTCGCCGGCCTCTACCCGCCCCACGCCGACCAAATCTGGGACCCAGCGATCCCCTGGCAACCCATCCCCATCCACACCATGCCCGAACTCGAGGACAACCTCCTCTCCATGAAGAAAAACTGCCCCAAATACAACCTCCTCATCACCCAGCTGTTCAAAACCCCGTACTTCGTCAACATCAGCCACAAGAACCATGACTTGTACGCCTACTTGACGAAGAACTCGGGTACTCTGATCGCGTCTCTGGAGAGTTTAGAGTACCTCTACAACACGATGTTCATCGAAACGTTATACAATTTGACGTTGCCTGATTGGGCACGGGTGGTTTACCCCAGCAAGCTCAAACCGTGGGCGGATCTGAGCTTTGCCACGCCTTGCTGGACGCAGGATCTGGCGCGGCTGAAAACCGGGCCTTTATTCCACGAGATAGTGGAACATTTCACCAACGCCACGAAAAACGTGACGGGGTTTCTCAAGTTTCGGGCGTACTCGGCACACGATATCACCATAGCGAATGTGCTGAACACCATGGGGGCGTTCCAGGTGCACGGGCCGCCGTACGCGAGCACTATCATGCTGGAGCTGCGGCGGGGGGCGGGGGAGTACGTCAACATTTTTTACAAGAATTCGAGCATAGTTCAAAATATTACGGCGAAAGGTTGTGATTTTAACTGCAAGTTTGACGATTTTGTCAGCTTGTTGAGGCCGATTGTGATCAGCAGGGACGAGTGGAATTTGGAGTGTCAGCTCGAGTGGTACTACTACTACCACCTTGACGACTTGCAGTACGTGATATACGCAAGTGCGGGTTTGAGCTTCGTTGTTTTTACTTTGAGTATTTGGATGGTGTGGAGGTGCTGTAAGAGGATGCCGAAAGGGGGCGTCACGGCGTACACACAGCTGCCTAGTGACGAAGTCGCTTGATCGCTCAGGTTATTTTAGTTGTTAAGGGGCCAAAGTTTTGCTTTGAATTATCCAAAAGTTGTGATTCGAGAAATGGCGACTGATTCTAGCTTTATTTGTTGTGTTGGGGTGAAGTCCCTTTTCGTTTGTGATTTCATTTGTAAAGGCCAAATATACTTAAAAGGACTTCCGTATTTATAGGCGCTGATGTTGGATGTCCTTATGTATTACGCATTATTAGTATTTGAATAAAGTATTTAAGCGGCAAGGTGTGTTTTTGTTTATTAATTTTCGTCAGTACGGGGGCAGAATATTGTGCACACGCATAATAAACTAGATCAGTGGTAACTTGTGCAATAAGAGTCATCTGATCGAGCGATGACTTAAAGGTAAAGAATGAATCATCCATGTGGACTGTTGACTGATTTGATTGGTAGACAGTGAATTCCGTCCATATTTGGCAAGGAATGTGTTTCGAACGAAAATGCTGAATTTTTTCTCGTGGTTGGGTCTCGACCATTGGGACAAGCCACCAGCGTCACGTCATTTCGACCGCCCCTGACTTCTATTCTAGGCCTGCATCCTTTGTGCCAGCTCGACAAGGAACCGCACACTCCGCTTCCACCACGTGTTATTGTGTTATTCCATTTAAATGTCTAATTTCTGTAACTCTGGTATCAATTACAACCGAACAAGTATTAAAGTTTCAAAAAGAACAATAAACAACATTTGAAATCTTATCTCTAATCAACATTATTTACTTAAAAAAAACTAGCAAAGATTTATAAAAACAAAATTACATTAGTTTAATGTTTGCCACACTTTATCAACGGTTCAAACAAGGAATTTACGTGAAGTTAAATTATGCCACACTTTATCAACGATTCAAACAAAGAATTTACCTGAAGTTAAATTATGCCATTATCCAAGTGATTGGTTACTTAAAACAATTAACTTTGAGGGGTTATATCGTGGATTGTCCTCAGCTTATCCCAAATAAAACACAATAAATAAACACGAAATGTAATTCCCCCGTACCTCAGTCCACGATATTATGAATTCTACCGTACTTCCACAGTCTTTTTCCCAGAGTGGACCAACGTTAGGTTGGTTACTTTAACTGCCGTAAATGAACTATTAGAGCAATCTTGTGCGAGGAATTAAGAAGCGTTATAATATAATGAAACACTTAAGTACAAGCATCCAGAAACCTTATTTATAACTTGATAAACAAAGGATAAGTCTTGACTAAGTGAATTTCATGAAATCTCCTATCTGAACAATCTTATGACTCTTAAATTGTGTTAGAACCAGTTAACGATTAAAACCCTAACATGAACTGTGAATTTACAAACAATAGATCAAATTTACACCACCAAAATGCGCCTATTTCCGTTTGGAAAAACCGCAAGAATTAATTGCGTGTTGGGGAAACTGTGGCATGGCAATCGGTAGGATTAATTTTCGTTAAACAAAGGTCCTCTTTTTTCTAACTACCAAACCACTTAAACTTAACCTAGCTTCTTGACCTCGTGACAAATTTTGATCATTTTTTATCAAAGTTAGTCAGCAGTACTTACTAAGATAAAACTGATTTTGGCAAATGAGATACCTTCTAAGAAAAGAAAGGGTCGGTGGGCGGGGCTAGTAGCTGCCAAGATAAGACTGAGATACCTTCTAAGAAAAGAGTGCGAGTGGGCGGGGTTAGTACCTGCTTAAATAAGACCGATTTTGGCAAATGAACCCTCTAAGAAAAGAGAGGGTGGGTGGGTCGGGCTGGTACCTTCTAAGATAAGAGTGATTTTGGCAAATGAAATACCCTGTAAGAAAAGAGAGCGCGGTGGGCGGGGCTAATACTTGCCAAGATAAGTGATTTTGGCAAATGACATACCTTCTAAGAAAAGAGAAGGTGGGTGGGCGGGGCTGGTACCTGCTAGGGTAAGAATGATTTTGGCAAATGACATATTCTCTAAGAAAAGAGAGGGTGGGTGGGCGGGGCTAATATTTGCCAAGATAAAAGTGATTTTGGCAAGACATACCTTTTAAGAAAAGAGAGGATGGGTGGGCGGGGCTGGTACTTGCTAGGATAAGAATGATTTTGGCAAATCAAATAAACTCTCAGAGAAGAGAGGGCGAGTGGGCGGGGCTAATACTTGCTCAGATAAAAGTGAATTTGGCAAATGAGATATCCTCTAAGAAAAGAGAGGGTGAGTGGGCGGACTTGGTATCTTTAAAGATAAGAGTGATTTTGGCAAATGATATACCTTGTAAGAAAAGAGAGGGTGTGTGGGCGGGGCTGGTACCTTCTAAGATAAGAGTGATTTTGGCAAATACCCTCTAAGAAAAGAGAGGGCGGGTGGGCGGGGCTATTTGCCAAGATAAAAGTGATTTTGGCAAATGAGATGTATCCTCTAAGAAAAGCGAGGGTGGGTGGGCGGGGCTGGCACCTGCTAAGATAAGAGTGATTTTGGCAAATCGAATAAAATCTCAGAGAAGAGAGAGCGGGTGGGCGGGCCTAATACTTGCCAAGATAAAAGTGATTTTGGCAAATGAGATGTATCCTCTAAGAAAAGAGTGGGTGGGTGGGCGAAGCTGGCACCTTCTAAGATAAGAGTGATTTTGGCAGATGAAATATCCTCTAAGAAAGGAGAGGGCGGGTGGGCGGGGCTGATATTTGCCATGATAAAAGTGATTTTAGCAAATGACATATCCTATAAGAAAAGAGAGGGTGGGTGGGCGGGGTTGGTATTTTCTAAGATAAGAGTGATTTTGGCAAATGACGTACCCTCTAAGAAAAGAGAGGGTGGGTGGGCGGGGCTGGTACCTGCTAAAATAAGAGTGATTTTGGCAAATCAAATAAACTCTAAGAGAAGAGAAGGCGGGTGGGCGGGGCTAATACTTGCTCAGATAAAAGTGATTTTGGCAAATGAGATATCCTCTAAGAAAACAGAGGGTGGGTGGGCGGGGTTGGTATTTTATAAGATAAGAGTGATTTTGGCAACTCAAATAAACTCTTAAGAGAAGAGAGGGCGGGTGGGCGGGGCTAATACTTGCTCAGATAAAAGTGATTTTGGCAAATGACATCCTCTAAGAAAAGAGAGGGTCGGTGGGCGGGGATAATATTTGCCAAGATAAAAGTGATTTTGGCAAATGACATACCTTCTAAGAAAAGAGAGGGTGGGTGAGTGGGTGGGCGGGGTTGGTATCTTCTAAGATAAGAGTGATTTTGGCAAATCACATATCCTCTAAGAAAAGAGAGGGTGGGTGGGTGGGGCTAATATTTGCCAAGATAAAAGTGATTTTGGCAAATAACATCCTCTAAGAAAAGAGAGGGTGGGTGGGCGAGGCTAATATTTGCCTAGATAAAAGTGATCTTGGCAAATGACATATCCTCTAAGGAAAGAGTGGGTAGATGGGCGGGGTTGGTATCTTCTAAGATAAGAGTGATTTTGGCAAATGAAATAAACTCTAAGAAAAGAGAGAGCGGGTGAGCGGGGCTAATACTTGCCAAGATAAAAGTGATTTTGGCAAATAACATCCTCTAAGAAAAGAGAGGGTGGGTGGGCGGGGATAATATTTGCCAAGATAAAAGTGATTTTGGCAAATGACACCTTCTAAGAAAAGAGAGGGTGGGTGAGTGGGTGGGCGGGGTTGGTATCTTCTAAGATAAGAGTGATTTTGGCAAATAACATCCTCTAAGAAAAGAGAGGGTGGGTGGGCGAGGCTAATATTTGCCTAGATAAAAGTGATTTTGGCAAATGACATATCCTCTAAGGAAAGAGTGGGTAGATGGGCGGGGTTGGTATCTTCTAAGATAAGAGTGATTTTGGCAAATGAAATAAACTCTAAGAAAAGAGAGGGTGGGTGGCCGGGGCTGGTACATGTTAAGATAAGATTGATTTTGACAAATGAAATACCCTCTAAGAAAAGAGAGAGCGGGTGAGCGGGGCTAATACTTGCCAAGATAAAAGTGATTTTGGCAAATGACATATCCTCTAAGAAAAGAAAGGGTAGATGGGCGGGGCTGGTACCTTTTAAGGTAAGAGTGATTTTGGCAAATCACATATCCTCTAAGAAAAGAGAGGGTGGGTGCGCGGGGCTAATATTTGTTAAGATAAAAGTGATTTTGGCAAATGACATCCTCTAAGAAAAGAGAGGGTGGGTGGGTGGGCGGGGCTGGTACCTTCTAAGGTAAGAGTGATTTTGGCAAATCACATATCCTCTAAGAAAAGAGAGGGTGGGTGGGCGGGGTTGGTATCTTCTAAGATAAGAGTGATTTTGGCAAATGAAATAAACTCTAAGAAAAGAGAGGGTGGGTGGGTGGGGCTAATATTTGTCAAGATAAAAGTGATTTTGGCAAATGACATACCTTCTAAGAAAAGAGAGGGTGGGTGAGTGGGTGGGCGGGGTTGGTATCTTCTAAGATAAGAGTGATTTTGGCAAATCACATATCCTCTAAGAAAAGAGAGGGTGGGTGGGCGGGGCTAATATTTGCCAAGATAAAAGTGATTTTGGCAAATGACATCCTCTAAGAAAAGAGAGGGTGGGTGGGCGGAGCTGGTACCTTCTAAGGTAAGAGTGATTTTGGCAAATGACATATCCTCTAAGAAAAGAGAGGGTGGGTGGGCGGGGCGAATATTTGCCAAGATAAAATTGATTTTGCAAATGACATACCTTCTAAGAAAAGAGAGGGTGGGTGGGCGGAGCTGGTACCTCCTCTAAGAAAAGAAAGGGTAGATGGGCGGGGCTGGTACCTTTTAAGGTAAGAGTGATTTTGGCAAATCAGATATCCTCTAACAAAAGAGAGGGTGGATGAGCGGGGCTAATATTTGCCAAGATAAAAGTGATTTTGGCAAATGACATATCCTCTAAGAAAAGAGAGGGTGGGTGGGTGGGGCTAATATTTGTCAAGATAAAAGTGATTTTGGCAAATGACATACCTTCTAAGAAAAGAGAGGGTGGGTGAGTGGGTGGGCGGGGTTGGTATCTTCTAAGATAAGAGTGATTTTGGCAAATCACATATCCTCTAAGAAAAGAGAGGGTGGGTGGGCGGGGTTAATATTTGCCAAGATAAAAGTGATTTTGGCAAATGACATCCTCTAAGAAAAGAGAGGGTGGGTGGGCGGAGCTGGTACCTTCTAAGGTAAGAGTGATTTTGGCAAATGACATATCCTCTAAGAAAAGAGAGGGTGGGTGGGCGGGGCGAATATTTGTCAAGATAAAAGTGATTTTGGCAAATGACATACCTTCTAAGAAAAGAGAGGGTGGGTGCGTGGGTGGGCGGGGTTGGTATCTTCTAAGATAAGAGTGATTTTGGCAAATCACATATCCTCTAAGAAAAGAGAGGGTGGGTGGGCGGGGCTAATATTTGCCAAGATAAAAGTGATTTTGGCAAATGACATCCTCTAAGAAAAGAGAGGGTGGGTGAGTGGGTGGGCGGGGTTGGTATCTTCTAAGATAAGAGTGATTTTGGCAAATCACATATCCTCTAAGAAAAGAGAGGGTGGGTGGGCGGGGCTAATATTTGCCAAGATAAAAGTGATTTTGGCAAATAACATCCTCTAAGAAAAGAGAGGGTGGGTGGGCGGGGCCAATATTTGCCAAGATAAAAGTGATTTTGGCAAATGACATATCCTCTAAGAAAAGAGTGGGTAGATGGGCGGGGTTGGTATCTTCTAAGATAAGAGTGATTTTGGCAAATGAAATACTCTTTAAGAAAAGAGAGGGTGGGTGGGCGGGGCTGTTTTTGAGTTAATTTTGGGACCCCGTTTTTTGTTTTTAATTTAAAACAATGTTAAGCTTCTAGGTATAGCTGTTTGGAAAGAATTTGAAAGTGCGTTGGAGCCTCTAGTGTCTTTTCTTATAATACTTTAATTAAATTTTTTTAGAGGATACGTCCTTTGCCAAAATCAGCCTTATCCTAGCAGGGACTAGTCCCGCCCTTTCTTTTCTTAGAGGGTTACTCATTTGCCAAGGTCACTCTTATCTTAACAGGTAATAGCTCCGCCCCCCGCCCTCTATTTTCTTAGAGGATCTCATTTGCCAAAATCAGTCTTATCTTAGCGGTTATTAAGCCCGCCCACCCACCCTCTCTTTTCTTAGAGGGTATGCAATTTGCCAAAGTTAGTTTTTTCTGAGCAAATACTGATGAATTATGTCCATATACGGCAAGGAATGTGTTACCACAAAGTTTCGGAAGACACTGAACTAAAAAAACGATGTTGATATGCGAGACCGTGAAAAATAATAAATGTCTTTTTGATACTTGCGATAAGAGGAAAAATCTGTGCCCATTTTATTATCCTAATTTGTTTATGTCGACTTGCAATTATTCTTCACGTGTCAGCACCAAGCCGTTTTTGCTCTCTTGCATTGTTTCCGGTGTGATAGCGCGACAGTACGAGGGCCGAATATTGTGCACACGCATAATATAATTAACTGTTGACTGATCGGCGCTCAGTAAATTCTGGCCATGCCTGGGATAGAGTGCGTAGTGCAGTGGCCTGTTGGACGACTTGAATGATCGACAGTGAATTCTGCCCGAATAAAACTATTACTAAAAACTGTAAATAAAATATATTTCGTAACAATTACAGCGTCAATTTCTATGCACGTTACACAATGTAAAATATCACACGTCACGATTGTTACATTATAAAACTACAATCTCTAGAATGTACAATTCACTAAATAGCGTCAAAATCTGGCAATTTCCGTCGCGGTACTGCCCAAGGTCCAGTCCGATATCGATCTAAAAACAACCCATTTAGTCAACAGTCCCTCACGCGCTACATACTTACAAGTCAAAATTTCAAGTCTTTCGTTAGTACATTATCTTTTTTCTTTAAGCTGTTAGTAAGGAAAGTTAGTAGGTTAGTTACGAAAAACGGAAAATAGTAAAAAAAAAAAACAAAAGCCCTGTGCATACATACATGCCCCAATTTTTTTCCGTTTTAAGTTGACTCAATCAAGCGTTCTCTGGAAAAGATCGACAACACGAAAGCTTAGCCCCGAGACAGACATACCCTGGACGAGAGCTTACCTCGAGTAGCTAATCGGGTTTACGGACAATTGGGCATCAGTGGGGGCCATGATGTACCTCCTGACTAGACCGTACCTCAGTAAATTCGTATTCCCCATTGATATGGCCATATGGATCACAAGATATGCACAGAATATCAAATAACAAATTCCTATTATCACCACGAAGAATAGGGCGTACCAGTGTAAGTGCAGGTCGTTCATGGTTTGAACCACGAAGTAGGTGTTGATGGCGATCACCACCACGCTTAGTAGTATAGACGCCACTTTATTAAACCTACAATGAATAAACACACAATGAGTTTGTGGAGCGAGCGAAGCGAGCTTTCATACCATCCATTCACAAACTCCCCCATTATCTGCGGATTACTCGTGAACGCGATCGTCGGAATCGTGGCGAACGGCAACTGCAAGCTCATAATGGCGTTGAGAACGTCGTTCATCCCCGTCAAGTCCTCAATGTGGCTGAAGAAGGCGAGACAAAACGTCGGAATAATCGCGATGGTCCTGGTGAACAGGACTCTCTTCCAGCGCGCCCATTGCAAATTGAGGAACCCCTCCATGGTGAACTGTCCAGCGTAAGTCCCAGTCATCGTGGAACTCTGTCCAGCGGCTAAAATCCCCACGGCCCATATGTACATGGCTATCAACCCGTACGTGCACCCCAGGAAAATGCCCCCTTTGTACAAATCCGCGTCTACGTAGTTGTCGTTCTCGGGGAAAATCGACGCGTTGATCGAAGGGTAGTGCACGCACAAATCGTGCACTTCTTTGTTTGTTTTGTGGTAGAGTCCGTGGGCGAAAACCGCCACCACGAAGACGTTGATCACGAAACTGACGAAGAGGGCGATGGCGGCTTCCACGAAGAAGTACAAGTTGGCGTCGCGGATTTTGGTCGATCGGGTGCGATCGACGTCGCGGGATTTCACGAGGGCGGAGTGGAGGTAGAGGTTGTGGGGCATGATCACGGCACCTGGAAAAATCGATCTAGGGGTTATAAGACCTCCAGAAGCACTCAACTGATAGATAAATCACAAGTACAAACTCATCATATTTTTTGCATTTTAGATCGGATTTATTCAGCCAAATTTAAGGGTGACGTCATCAATTTTTTTAGGAGGGATGAACAAATACATTTTGAACAAAAGTTTAGCATGCTCATAATAACTTTAAAATATCTCCAAGATTTCAAAGCATTCGGTTTTGTAATTCCTGAGTAAATCAATAAAATAAATTTTGCGCATTCATTAATTTTTTTGAGCCACCCTGTATATGTAAATCCAAAAAATATGAATGGAGTGATATATCACAAGTACAGACTCATCATATTTTGTACATTTTAGATAGGATTTATTCAGCAAAATTTTGGGGTAACGTCATCAATTTTTTAGGGGGGATGAGCAAATACATTTTGATAAAAAATTTACCATGCTTATAATAACTTTAAAACATCTCCAAGATTTCAAAGCATTCGGTTCTGTAATTCCTGATTAAATCAAAAAAATAAATTGACGCATTCATTAATTTTTTTCAGTCACTCTGTATATGCAAATCGAAAAAATATGAAAGGAATGATAAATCACAAGTACAGACTCATCATATTTTTCACATTTTAGAAAAACTGGAAACTCCAGAAATCGAAAAGTGTAAAATCGAAAAATCGAGACACTGAAATATACAAAAATCGAAAAACTGAAAAAAAAGGTCAGAAAATAAAAAATAGTGCCAGAACAATCAAAACTGAAAAATTCTAAAACCGAAATCTCGAAAAATGGGAAATCGAAACATCAAAAAAATCGAAAAATCCAGAAATCGCATTTTGTCCTGTTTTATTTAGTTCTTTTTGTTGCACTTTTCTGGCTTTTTAATTAAATTTTGGTTTGTTTTTGTCACTTTTTTATTTTTCTGCGTTTTTCGTTTCTATCAAGTTGTTTTCGTTAATTTTTTGGAGTTTTTCTGTTTTCTCTTTTATTATCGCCATTTTGGAAATCAAAAAGTGGAAAATCGAGAAATTGAATCAAATCGAAAAATCTAAAATTTAAAAATCGAGAAATCGAAACATAAAAAACCCTGAACAACTGAAATTTCGAAAAATTGAAAAAGGAAAAGTCAAAAAATTAAAAATCAAGACAGAAGATTCAAAACTGAAAAGTTCCAAAACTGAAACCTCGAAAATGAGACATCGAAACAAAAAAATCCAAAAATCCAAAAATCCAGAAATCGAAAAATGGAAAATCCGGAAACTGAAGCACTAAAAAATAGAAAAATCTAAACTTTGAAAAATCTAAAAACTGAAAACTCAAAAATCGAAAGATCGAGAAATTGAAACAAAAAAAGAATCGTAAGGCCGAAAGTTCGAATAATTGAAAAAACGAAAACTCAAAAAATCAGGAATCAGATGATAAAACTGAATTTAACCGAAAAATTTTAAAAGTCGAAAAATCTTAGACTCAAAAAATCGAAGAAATCCAAAAATCCGAAATTCGAAAAATCAAGAAATCGATGAACTGAAGAATTGAAACACTGAAAAATTCCAAAACTGAAATATGAAAAAATGAGAAATCGAAACATATAAAATTGAAAAAACGAGAAATCGAAAAGTTGAAAATCGAATAATAGAAAAATTAAACAAAAAATAAAAAACAGAAAGGTCAAAAAATCAAAAATTAAAAGACGAAAAAATCAAAACTGAAAATTCCCAAAATTGTCATCTCGAATGATAAGAAATCGAAACGTCAAAAAATCGAAAACCTAAAATTTCGAGAAAATGAAAAAGGAAAAGTCAAAAAATCAAAAATCAAGACTGAATTTAACTTAAAAGTTCCAAAACCCAAATAATCTCGCAAATTAGAAATCGAAACATAAAAAATCGAAAAATCTACCAATAGAAAAGTGGAAAATTCAAAAATTGAAACATCAAAAAAATCGGAAAATCTAAAATTTAAAAAATGTAAAAACAAAAAATTCGAGAACTCGAAAAGTGGAAAACCGAAAAATTGTAGCATAAAAAACGGAAATCTGAAATTCAGAAAAACTGAAAAAGGAATAGTCAAAAATCAAGAAAAAGAAAAATCGAAACTGAAAAATTACAAATCTGAAATCTCGAAAAGTGAGAAACCGAAACATCAAAAAATCGAGAAATCGAAAAGTGGAAAATCCAGAAATTGAAACATCAAAAAAGCTGTAAAACGGAAAATCCGAATAACGCTAAATCGAAACATCGAAAAATCGAAAAATGGAAAAAAGTCCAGGAGCTGTTTTTTTGAGGTGTTTTTGTTTTTTTTTTACATTTTTTATTACGTTTTTTTTGGACTTTTTTTTGTAATAGACTTTTTGTCCTTTTTTATTTACTTTTTGTGCTTATCTTCTTTTTTGCTGGGGTTCTTTGGTCACTTTATTGTTACTTTTTTGTCTGTTTTGTCACCTTTTTTAATTTTTTTAGCGTTTTTGTTCTGTATTTTCGCCTTATTTCTACAATGTTTGTCCTTTTTACTTCGTAAGCGTAAACTAAGAAGAATCGTAATGTTGTTAATTTTAATTTTTTTAGTAACCACCATTTAAATTTTTGAAAATAACATACTCTTGTGCTTGTGGTTTATGAATCCGCCTTGAGGTTTTACCCTAGACATCCAATTTTTTCCTTAGACGGTGACTGTTAAAATCTAGGATTTATTTACCAAATTTTAGGGTGACGTCATCAATTTTTTAAGCGGGGATGAGCAAATAAATTTTGATAAAAAAATTACCATGCTTATTATAACTTTAAAATATCTCCAAGATTTCACAGCATTCGGTTCTGTAATTCCTGATTAAATCAAAAAAATAAATTGACGCATTCATTAATTTTTTTCAGTCACTCTGTATATGCAAATCGAAAAAATATGAAAGGAATGATAAATCACAAGTACAGACTCATCATATTTTTCACATTTTAGAAAAACCGGAAACTCCAGAAATCGAAAAGTGTAAAATCGAAAAATCGAGACATTGAAACATACAAAAATTGAAAAACTAAAAAAAAAAGTCAGAAAATAAAAAATAGTGCCAGAACAATCAAAACTGAAAAATTCTAAAACCGAAATCTCGAAAAATGGGAAATCGAAACATCAAAAAAACGAAAAATCCAGAAATCGCATTTTGTCCTGTTTTATTTAGTTCTTTTTGTTGCACTTTTCTGGCTTTTTTATTAAATTTTGGTTTGTTTTTGTCACTTTTTTATTTTTCTGCGTTTTTCGTTTCTATCAAGTTGTTTTCGTTAATTTTTTGGAGTTTTTCTGTTTTCTCTTTTATTATCGCCATTTTGGAAATCAAAAAGTGGAAAATCGAGAAATTGAATCAAATCGAAAAATCTAAAATTTAAAAAATCTAAAAACTGAGAATTCGAAAAATCGCAAACTGGAAAATTGGAAAATCGAGAAATTGAAACATAAAAAACCCTGAACAACTGAAATTTCGAAAAATTGAAAAAGGAAAAGTCAAAAAATTAAAAATCAAGACATAGAAGATTCAAAACTGAAAAGTTCCAAAACTGAAACCTCGAAAATGAGACATCGAAACAAAAAAATTCAAAAATCCAAAAATCCAGAAATCGAAAGGCCGAAAGTTCGAATGATCGAAAAAACGAAAACTCAAAAAATCAGGAATCAGATGATAAAACTGAATTTAACCGAAAAATTTTAAAAGTCGAAAAATCTTAAACTCAAAAAATCGAAGAAATCCAAAAATCCGAAATTCGAAAAATCAAGAGATCGATGAACTGAAGCATTGAAACACTGAAACATTCCAAAACTGAAATATGAAAAAATGAGGAATCGAAACATATAAAATTGAAAAAACGAGAAATCGAAAAGTTGAAAATCGAATAATAGAAAAATTAAACAAAAAATAAAAAAAAAGAAAGGTCAAAAAATCAAAAATTAAAAGACGAAAAAATCAAAACTGAAAATTCCCAAAATTGTCATCTGGAATGATAAGAAATCGAAACGTCAAAAAATCGAAAATTCGGAAAATCGAAAAGTGGAAAATCCAGAAATTTAAACATAAAAAAATCGAAAAATCTAACATTTAAAAAATGTAAAAACTGAAAATTTGAAAAATCGAAAAATCGAGAAATTGAAACAAAAAATCGAAAACCTAAAATTTCGAGAAAATGAAAAAGGAAAAGTCAAAAAATCAAAAATCAAGAGATAGAACTGAATTTAACTTAAAAGTTCCAAAACCCAAATAATCTCGCAAATTAGAAATCGAAACATAAAAAATCGAAAAATCTACCAATAGAAAAGTGGAAAATTCAAAAACTGAAACATCAAAAAAATCGGAAAATCTAAAATTTAATAGAATGTAAAAACAAAAAATTCGAGAACTCGAAAAGTGAAAAACCGAAAAATTGTAGCATAAAAAACGGAAATCTGAAATTCAGAAAAACTGAAAAAAAGGAAAAGTCAAAAATCAAGAAAAAGAAAAATCGAAACTGAAAAATTACAAATCTGAAATCTCGAAATATGAGAAACCGAAACATCAAAAAATCGAGAAATCGAAAAGTGGAAAATCCAGAAATTGAAACATCAAAAAAGCTGTAAAACGGGAAATCCGAATAACGCTAAATCGAAACATCGAAAAATCGAAAAATGGAAAAAAGTCCAGGAGATGTTTTTTTGAGGTGTTTTTGCTTTTTTTTACATTTCTAATTACGTTTTTTTTGTGCTTTTTCTGTCGATTTTTGTTATCTTCTTTTTTGCTGGGGTTCTTTGGTCACTTTTTTGTTACTTTTTTGTCTGTTTTGACACCTTTTTTTAATTTTTTTAGCGTTTTTGTTCTGTATTTTAGCCTCATTTCTACAATGTTTGTCCTTTTTACTTCGTAAGCGTAAACTAAGAAGAATCGTAATGTTGTTAATTTTAATTTTTTTAGTAACCGCCATTTAAATTTTTGAAAATAACATACTCTTGTGCTTGTGGTTTATGAATCCGCCTTGAGGTTTTACCCTAGACATCCAATTTTTTCCTTAGACGGTGACTGTTAAAATCTAGGATTTATTTACCAAATTTTAGGGTGACGTCATCAATTTTTTAGGCGGGGATGAGCAAATAAATTTTGATAAAAAAATTACCATGCTTATTATAACTTTAAAATATCTCCAAGATTTCACAGCATTCGGTTCTGTAATTCCTGATTAAATCAAAAAAATAAATTGACGCATTCATTAATTTTTTTCAGTCACTCTGTATATGCAAATCGAAAAAATATGAAAGGAATGATAAATCACAAGTACAGACTCATCATATTTTTCACATTTTAGAAAAACTGGAAACTCCAGAAATCGAAAAGTGTAAAATCGAAAAATCGAGACACTGAAACATACAAAAATCGAAAAACTGAAAAAAAAAGTCAGAAAATAAAAAATAGTGCCAGAACAATCAAAACTGAAAAATTCTAAAACCGAAATCTCGAAAAATGGGAAATCAAAACATCAAAAAATCGAAAAATCCAGAAATCGCATTTTGTCCTGTTTTATTTAGTTCTTTTTGTTGCACTTTTCTGGCTTTTTTATTAAATTTTGGTTTGTTTTTGTCACTTTTTTATTTTTCTGCGTTTTTCGTTTCTATCAAGTTGTTTTCGTTAATTTTTTGGAGTTTTTCTGTTTTCTCTTTTATTATCGCCACTTTGGAAATCAAAAAGTGGAAAATCGAGAAATTGAATCAAATCGAAAAATCTAAAATTTAAAAAATCTAAAAACTGAGAATTCGAAAAATCGCAAACTGGAAAATTGGAAAATCGAGAAATTGAAACATAAAAAACCCTGAACAACTGAAATTTCGAAAAATTGAAAAAGGAAAAGTCAAAAAATTAAAAATCAAGACAGAAGATTCAAAACTGAAAAGTTCCAAAACTGAAACCTCGAAAATGAGACATCGAAACAAAAAAATCCAAAAATCCAAAAATCCAGAAATCGAAAAGTGGAAAATCCGGAAACTGAAGCACTAAAAAATAGAAAAATCTAAACTTTGAAAAATCTAAAAACTGAAAACTCAAAAATCGAAAGATCGAGAAATTGAAACAAAAAAAGAATCGAAAGACCGAAAGTTCGAATAATTGAAAAAACGAAAACTCAAAAAATCGGGAATCAGATGATAGAACTGAATTTAACCGAAAAATTTTAAAAGTCGAAAAATCTTAAACTCAAAAAATCGAAGAAATCCAAAAATCCGAAATTCGAAAAATCAAGAAATCGATGAACTGAAGAATTGAAACACTGAAAAATTCCAAAACTGAAATATGAAAAAATGAGGAATCGAAACATATAAAATTGAAAAAACGAGAAATCGAAAAGTTGAAAATCGAATAGAAAAATTAAACAAAAAATAAAAAAACAGAAAGGTCAAAAAATCAAAAATTAAAAGACGAAAAAATCAAAATTGAAAATTCCCAAAATTGTCATCTCGAATGATAAGAAATCGAAACGTCAAAAAATCGAATAATCTAACATTTAAAAAATGTAAAAACTGAAAATTTGAAAAATCGAAAAATCGAGAAATTGAAACAGAAAAAATCGAAAACCTAAAATTTCGAGAAAATGAAAAAGGAAAAGTCAAAAAATCAAAAATCAAGAGATATTGTAGAACTGAATTTAACTTAAAAGTTGCAAAACCCAAATAATCTCGCAAATTAGAAATCGAAACATAAAAAATCGAAAAATCTACCAATAGAAAAGTGGAAAAATCAAAAAAATCGGAAAATCTGAAATTTAAAAAAAGTAAAAACAAAAAATTCGAGAACTCGAAAAGTGGAAAACCGAAAAATTGTAGCATAAAAAACGGAAATCTGAAATTCAGAAAAACTGAAAAAAAGGAAAAGTCAAAAATCAAGAAAAAGAAAAATCGAAACTGAAAAATTACAAATCTGAAATCTCGAAAAATGAGAAACCAAAACATCAAAAAATCGAGAAATCGAAAAGTGGAAAATCCAGAAATTGAAACATCAAAAAAGCTGTAAAACGGGAAATCCGAATAACGCTAAATCGAAACATCGAAAAATCGAAAAATGGAAAAAGTCCAGGAGCTGTTTTTTGAGGTGTTTTTGCTTTTTTTTTACATTTTTAATTACGTTTTTTTTTTGGACTTTTTTGTAATAGACTTTTTGTCCTTTTTTATTTACTTTTGTGCTTTTTCTGTCGATTTTTGTTATCTTTTTGCTGGGGTTCTTTGGTCACTTTTTTGTTACTTTTTTGTCTGTTTTGTCACGTTTTTTTAATTTTTTTAGCGTTTTTGTTCTGCATTTTCGCCTTATTTCTACAATGTTTGTCCTGTTCTGGACGTTTCGGGTAAAAACTGAGTTCGGAGTCGTAAACTACATGTGTACGACTCTATAATTTTATACAATTGAAAACCCATTTACTATGTACAATTTTGAAGTGACGTCATCGCATTAGTGGTGGGGATGATTAGACAAATTTTGGTTAGCGTTTTACCATCTACATGATATTCTTAATATAAGTACAAAATTTCACAACAATCGGTCGAGTACTTTCGGAGATTATCTGTCTAATAAAAATCCGGGACAACAGACGGACAGACAGACGGAAATGGGAGACCTATTTCTTCGTCTTCTAGGGGTCATGAAAGATCGAGAAAACGTACGCTCCAGAAGTAAAACTCGACCATTTTTACTTCCCGAGCGTAAGCAAAGGAAGTATTGTAATCGAGTCCGTCGGCCGACTCTCTACTTTTACGTTTTCTCAATCTTTCATGACCCCTAGAAGACGAAGAAATAGGTCTCCCATTTCCGTCTGTCTGTCCGTCCGTCTGTCCGTCCGTCCGTCTGTCCGTCCGTCTGTCCGTCTGTTGTCACGGATTTTTATTAGACAGATAATCTCCGAAAGTACTCGACCGATTGTTGTGAAATTTTGTACTTATATTAAGAATATCATGTAGATGGTAAAACGCTAACCAAAATTTGTCTAATCATCCCCACCACTAATGCGATGACGTCACTTCAAAATTGTACATAGTAAATGGGTTTTCAATTGTATAAAATAACATAGTCCTACACATGTAGTTTACAACTCTGAATCGACTTTTCACCCGAAACGTCCAGATTTTTGGAAAAAAAATCAAAATTATAAAACAACATTTTGAAATTTAATTTTTAATCTGCTAACCACAATGCTTCGAAATGTTGCAGATGTTTTAAGGCTATAAAGAGCATCATAAATCTTTAGTCAAAAAATATTTGCTTATCCCCTCCAAAAACTTGATGACGTCAGCTCAAAAGTTTGTGGAATAAATCATATCTAAAATGTACAAAATATGATGAGCCTGTAGTTGTGATCTATCACTCCATTCATATTTTTTTGGATTTGCATATACAGGGTGACTCAAAAAAATTAATGAATGCGTAAATTTATTTTATTGATTTAATCAGGAACTACAAAACCGAATGTTTTGAAATCTTGCAGATGTTTTAAGGTTATAAAGAGCATAATAAATTTTTAGTCAAAATATATTTAGTTATCTTCTACAAAAAACTGATGACGTCAGCTCAAAAGTTCGCCGAATAAATCGTATCTAAAATGTACAAAATATGATGAGTCTGTACTTGTGATTTATCATTCCATTCATATTTTTGGATTTGCATATGCAGGGTGACTCAAAAAAATTAATGAAGGCGTGAATTTATTTTATCGATTTAATCAGGAATTACAAAACCGAATGCTTTGAAATCTTGGGAATATTTTAAAGTTATTATAAGCATGGTAAACTTTTGTTCAAAATGTATTTGTTCATCCCTCCTAAAAAAATTGATGACGTCACCCTTAAATTTTGCTGAATAAATCCTATCTAAAATGCAAAAAATATGATGAGTTTGTACTTGTGATTTATCATTCCATTCATATTTTTTAGATTTTCTTAAGAGGTGGTTCAAAAAAATTAATGAAGTCAATTTATTTTATTGATTAAATTAAAGGCAACACTTATTATTAGTATTACACCCCAACCAACCCAATTTGGTAGACACAAAATTTGTTAAAGGAAAAACTCGGTTGAAACATAAGGGTAGCACGCTTATTTACATCGACTTTAACATTACAGACCTGCATTTGTTTTATGCGTTCACTTGATTCCGCGAATGTGAAATAGACATGTTTATAATCAACCAATTGTGAATTTCACCGTCAAGAATTAAAATAAAACCCAATGTTTTATATAATAAGCGGAAGTCGAAGCAATAAAACCGACGGTCGTTTTGTTTACAGTTTCTCTGTTTGGCTCTCACGTATGCTGTTACGCCTGTCATCTTAAATTAAGAATGTTTATACATACACGATTTTCAGTTGCCTCTGATACGTAGGTATACGTGAGTAAATTGTTTCGTTATTTTATTGATTATTACAAATCAATATTCAAACGACCCAATTCATTTTCCTGAAAATTTGAGAATATAATAATTTTATTCTTAGTATTACACTACATCTATCCCAACTGATATACGTGTCCTTGCAAAAATGTTGATGACGTCGTCGCAATTTTTTTTTAAATTCCCACTACAAAAATGTAATGAGAAAAAAAACACAATAGGCATGCAGTCGTCAAGTTTCCGACAGCGAGGGAAGTACTGTCTAAACTCTTTAGACCAATTTTTTTTATTACGTAGGTACGTGATGAAAATGGGACAAATGGAAGCTGATAAGGTTAACGACCACGATAAACATTTACACGTGTAACAATAAAATGAATAATTCATTTTATTGTTTAACGGTGAGTCATCACACAAAAATTGTGTGATCTCGACTTCGTCTCGGCAAACTCACCAACGATCCCCACGGCTTGGAGAAGTGCCCCTGAGTCGCACCCCTCGCACCACGGCACGAACATCCCCTCGATCACCTCCAGCTGACTCGGCTTAGACGTGATGTACTCAAACCCGAACGTCACCCCCATCACCGTGATCAGCAACCCGAAAAACAGCTCCAGTTTTCTCAAGCCGTACTTATCCAGGAACAGGAAGGTGAAAGTGTCCACGATCGTGATTAAAACGCCGCCCCATAGCGGGATCCTGCGAACCCAAAAGTGGGGTTATGTCACACTTCACCCTAACCCAACTCACGCTTTATTAGACAACAAGTAAATCGCAATCGCTGTGCCTATGACTTCTTGCATGTCAGACCCAATGATGGCTATTTCAATCATAATCCAGAGGATGAGTCTTGGGACTTTTCGGTATTGTCGGTAACACATTTCTGCTAAATGCAACCCGGTGACCACCCCCAAACGAGCGCTCAGTCGTTGCATGAGCAGCCCCAAAATCGTCGCGCTTAACAAAACCCATAGTAATTTATACTGGGCGACGGTGCCGCTTTGTAAGTCACTCTCGATGTTACCAGGGTCCAGATAAGCAATGGACATGAGAAACCCAGGACCCGTGAACGCCCACAACTTCCTGAAACTGAACCCCGACTGAAAATGGGGTAAAACGCGATCTCGTTTTCGTCTACTCACGGACTCGATTTCCGGGATTTGGATTTTTTCGTCGGCGAAGTAGGTGGAGGCGGGGGTGAGTTGGGTGGTTTCGTTGGCGGTGGGGACGGGGGGCGGCGGCTGCGGCCCATCGCCAGGCTCGCGACTTTCTGAGGACATCTGAAAATTACCCAATTAAGCAATCAAGTAACATATTGCAACTCATAACCTCACTTTCCAGCTGTCACTCTACATAACTCGGAAAAAATAAATAATACTTACCGTGCACGTTTCTGATAATCACTGAATCATTTTAGTGATTGGAGCGTGGTTTTTCCGAGGAATGCGATAACCTTAACATTTGTTTGAGGTTGGCGTTGTCGTTGGTGCGAATTGCCGCGGGTTCGAATTTTCGGGACGACGGGACGAGCAGACGCGACTCTAGTCGGCGCACGAATGACTTTGCTCTTGTCTCGACTTAAGTTAAGTATGATTGAATAGTCGCCGCTGTAAAAAAAACCCGGCGAGGTTTTCCGAGTATGAACGTGACAAGATTAGATTTTATCTTGTTTTGTTGTCGTGTATTTACGTAATTGCTTCACTTATCTGAATGTTTGTATACAGGTATTGTGGTGAGAAGCTCGCGAGATAAGGGTGTTTATGTCAATCAATGTCAAGTCTGTTGACATAAATTTATTTCGGGTATGATTTGTATTAATACATCTTATAACATTTTCAGTCACACAAAAGATTTTTTTGTAGTTTTTCTGGTTACATTTTCCCTGTATGCTCCACAAAAATAACACAAATGATAACGAGTAACTTATGCTAGTTGTACTAAATGCCAAAACAAATTACCCTGTGATAGCATCGTCAATATAATAAAATCTTTATTATAATAAAAAAAAATATATCACAAAATAAAAAAGTCGCTTAATTTAACAATGATATAAATAAACTTTTAATACTAATATAATATATCGATAATTATACAGAAGCACCTAAGTATGGCAGTGTTACAACATGAAAAACGAAACTTTAAATAAATACGATTTGTTGAAATGAGTGCTAACCTACACATAACGCACTAAAATTCCTAATACGAAATAAACTGTACATGAATAATACATTTACAAAGCAGTTATAAAATTACGTTCAGTATACGCTTGGAAGGGTTCTTACGTTTGAGTAAATTGATAACTGACGACCCCCGTCTGATCTAAAAAACAAAAAAAAAAACAATGCACAATCTGAGACACTCTTGAAAAAACAAAAAAGAAAAACGCTAACATGCCGTAACAAAACTTACCTTGAGAAAATTATTCGCAAACATTGCAAAATTGTGTTTGTGGCTATTAATATTGCACTTAGAGGTAACTTAAAACTGAAATTAAATAATGAATTAGTGAAAAAATCAAAACGGTTTTTATGGTTTTGAGAAAAACACAAAAACCAAAAATATGATGAGTGCATGCTTCATGCTGCGGGTGTACACAATACCAACAACTTCGTATTAAAAAATAACTATATTTACACACTTCAACTTAACCATCAATTTTAAATACAATTTAAAGCGTTACTATAAAATTAACTACAAAAATAATTTATGGGGTGATATAAAACTTTGAAAGCGGAACGATGTCGCTCGGGTTATTTACAATTAATTCTTAGAGAAGCGGTGAGGCTGTGCTGATTCGTAACGAGTGAATTAGGAAACGTCCGGAACCATGACGATGCCAAAGCAACGATTATCCCCCTCCCACATCCTCGTGATTCCAGGCTACCGTGAGTCCAAGCAACGATCTACTTCAGGCAATCAAATCAAATCAGAAAAACGAAAGAAAATTTCATACACACTTCGCTACTTGAGTGAAAGTCGAAACAAAATTAATGATTTTTGACCGGCTCTGGCATCCACCAACCTACATAACATCAACAAACATCTCACAAGGGTTTCCCATAGCTATCTTAAATGATTGTCTACTACCGGCAATGTCTTTGGATTGGGCTGCAACCTGCGTCCCGCTGCTCTGATCCGAACCGTTCGACGAACCGTTTCCGTTTCCGGTCGCCATCGGCAGGGCGGAGCGGGGGCCGAGTGACGTCAGATCGCTGTCGGAGGCGCTGCTGTGGCCCGCCGCTGCGTCCTTGAGGTGGTCGGAGCCGTTAGATGAGCCACCTGTGCGGAAACGAAAACATTAATACCAGAGAACATAGAGAAGCGTCATAGTTTAAATTAAATGACTTATGTTGGCAACAGTGTTTGTTTCTAACTAGGAATAAAATTAACTACAATAGAAAAAGTGTCGTAATATTTTTAACGACGCGTTTTACTTTGACACTAGATTTACCAGAATATTACAAGCTGGTTATTGTTTCCTTCATTTTAATTCAGATCACACGAATTACAGTTCGTCGTCTGAGAACTTGTTTGATCTACAGACCTGCTCAGAGCGCGTTCAGGCCAATGTCGACTCTAAGCGTTCGGAAACGATTTGATTTATAAACCACGATCCTAACCGATTTCGACCATAATTTCTTGCTGTTTCAACTTTCGAGTTCTCAGTTTTCCGAAATTTTAGTTTGGGGACTTTTCAGTTTACTCCTATTTATTATTCAATTTTTGGATTCTACAATTTTTCAATTTTTGACTTTTATAAACTCTTTATTTGTCGATTTTTCAGATTTTTAGTTTTTCAATTTTTCTATTTTTTCAGGTTTCGATTTGACATCACTTTTTTGATTTATCGATTTTTCAATTTCTCAGTTTTTTAATTTCTCAGTTTTTGGACATTTCAGTATTGGGATTTTTCAGTTTACTTGTTATTCAATTTTTCGATCTTACGATTTTGCAGGTTTTTGATTTTTCAATTTTTCGATTCTTTAGATTCTCAGTTTTGGGGTTTTTCAATATTTCTGTTCTTCGACTTTTCCAATTTGGACTTCTGGATTTTTCGATGTGTCGACTTTTTGCTGTTTCGATTTTTAAATTTTAGATTTCTCAATTTTTTGGTATTTTAATTTTTCAATATTTAAAATTTTCGATTTTTCGATTTTTCATTTCAGCTCTTCCATATTTCAATTTTTCAAATGTTTAAAATTTTAGATTTTCCGATTTCTCGATTTTTCATTTCAGTTCTTTGATGTTTCAGTTTTTCAAGTTTTCGAATTTTTCAAATGTTTTGATTTCTTAGTCTATCGATTTTTCGACTTCCCGGTTTTAGATTTTCTGTTTTTCAATTGTCGTTTTTTCAATTTTTCGATATTCCTGTACTTCGATATTTCAGGTTTTTGATTTTTTAACTTTTATAAACTCTTTATTTGTCGATTTTTCAATTAATTGATTTTTCAGATTTTTAGTTTTTCAATTTTTCTATTTTTTTCGATTTGACATCACTTTTTTGATTTATCGATTTCTCAATTTTTCAGTTTTTTAATTTCTCAGTTTTCGGACATTTCAGTATTGGGATTTTTCAGTTTACTTGTTATTCAATTTTTCGATCTTACGATTTTGCAGGTTTTTGATTTTTCAATATTTCTGTTCTTCGACTTTTCCAATTTGGACTTCTGGATTTTTCGATGTGTCGACTTTTTGCTGTTTCGATTTTTAAATTTTAGATTTCTCAATATTTTGGTATTTTAATTTTTCAATATTTAACATTTTAGATTTTCCGATTTCTCGATTTTTCATTTCAACTCTTCCATATTTAAATTTTTCAAATGTTTAAAATTTTAGATTTTCCGATTTCTCGATTTTTCATTTCAGTTCTTTGATATTTCAGTTTTTCAAGTTTTCGAATTTTTCAAATGTTTTGATTTCTTAGTCTATCGATTTTTCGACTTCCCGGTTTTAGATTTTCTGTTTTTCAGTTGTCGTTTTTCCAATTTTTTGATTTTTCAATTAATCGATGTTTTGATTTTCCCATTTCTTGACTTTTTTCGATATTCCTGTCCTTCGATTTTTCAGGTTTTTGATTTTTTGATTTTTATAAACTCTTTATTTGTCGATTTTTCAATTAATTGATTTTTCAGATTTTTAGTTTTTCAATTTTTCTATTTTTTCAGGTTTCGATTTGACATCACTTTTTTGATTTATCGATTTCTCAATTTTTCAGTTTTTTAATTTCTCAGTTTTCGGACATTTCAGTATTGGGATTTTTCAGTTTACTTGTTATTCAATTTTTCGATCTTACGATTTTGCAGGTTTTTGATTTTTCAATATTTCCGTTCTTCGACTTTTCCAATTTGGACTTCTGGATTTTTCGATGTGTCGACTTTTTACTTTTTCGATTTTTAAATTTTGGATTTCTCAATTTTTTGGTATTTTAATTTTTCAATATTTAAAATTTTAGATTTTTCGATTTGTCGATTTTTCATTTCAGCTCTTCCATATTTCAATTTTTCAAATGTTTAAAATTTTAGATTTTCCGATTTCTCTATTTTTCATTTCAGTTCTTTGATATTTCAGTTTTTCAAGTTTTCGAATTTTTCAAATGTTTTGATTTCTTAGTCTATCGATTTTTCGACTTCCCGGTTTTAGATTTTCTGTTTTTCAGTTGTCGTTTTTCCAATTTTTCCATTTTTAAATTAATCGATGTTTTGATTTTTCCATTTCTTGACTTTTTTCGATATTCCTGTCCTTCGATTTTTCAGGTTTTTGATTTTTTGACTTTTATAAACTCTTTATTTGTCGATTAATTGATTTTTCAGATTTTTAGTTTTTCAATTTCTCTATTTTTTCAGGTTTCGATTTGACATCACTTTTTTGATTTATCGATTTCTCAATTTTTCAGTTTTTTAATTTCTCAGTTTTTGGACATTTCAATATTGGGATTTTTCAGTTTACTTGTTATTCAATTTTTCGATCTTACGATTTTGCAGGTTTTTGATTTTTCAATTTTTCGATTCTTTAGATTCTCAGTTTTGGGGTTTTTTAATATTTCTGTTCTTCGACTTTCCCAATTTGGATTTCTGGATTTTTCGATGTGTCGACTTTTTGCTTTTTCGATTTTTAAATTTTAGATTTCTCAATTTTTTGGTATTTTAATTTTTCAATATTTAAAATTTTAGATTTTTCGATTTGTCGATTTTTCATTTCAGCTCTTCCATATTTCAATTTTTCAAATGTTTAAAATTTTAGATTTTCCGATTTCTCTATTTTTCATTTCAGTTCTTTGATATTTCAGTTTTTCAAGTTTTCGAATTTTTCAAATGTTTTGATTTCTTAGTCTATCGATTTTTCGACTTCCCGGTTTTAGATTTTCTGTTTTTCAGTTGTCGTTTTTCCAATTTTTCGATTTTTCAATTAATCGATGTTTTGATTTTTCCATTTCTTGACTTTTTTCGATATTCCTGTCCTTCGATTTTTCAGGTTTTTGATTTTTTGACTTTTATAAACTCTTTATTTGTCGATTAATTGATTTTTCAGATTTTTAGTTTTTCAATTTTTCTATTTTTTCAGGTTTCGATTTGACATCACTTTTTTGACTCGATTTTTCGACTTCCCGGTTTTAGATCTTCTGTTTTTCAATTGTCGTTTTTTCAATTTTTCAAATTTGGCATTTTATAAACTGTCAATTTTTCGATTTTTCAATGAATCGATGTTTTGATTTTCCCATTTCTTGACCTTCGAGTGTTTAAATTTTCCTGTTCAATTTTTTAATTTTTTGATTTTTCAGGTTTTTGATTTTTCAATTTTTCTATTTTTTCAGGTTTCGATTTTACATCACTTTTTTGATTTATCGATTTCTCAATTTTTCAGTTTTTTAATTTCTCAGTTTTTGGACATTTCAGTATTGGGATTTTTCAGTTTACTTGTTATTCAATTTTTCGATCTTACGATTTTGCAGGTTTTTGATTTTTCAATTTTTCGATTCTTTAGATTCTCAGTTTTGGGGTTTTTCAATATTTCTGTTCTTCGACTTTTCCAATTTGGACTTCTGGATTTTTCGATGTGTCGACTTTTTGCTGTTTCGATTTTTAAATTTTAGATTTCTCAATTTTTTGGTATTTTAATTTTTCAATATTTAAAATTTTAGATTTTCCGATTTCTCGATTTTTCATTTCAACTCTTCCATATTTCAATTTTTCAAATGTTTAAAATTTTAGATTTTCCGATTTCTCGATTTTTCATTTCAGTTCTTTGATATTTCAGTTTTTCAAGTTTTCGAATTTTTCAAATGTTTTGATTTCTTAGTCTATCGATTTTTCGACTTCCCGGTTTTAGATCTTCTGTTTTTCAATTGTCGTTTTTTCAATTTTTCAATTTTTCAAATTTGGCATTTTATAAACTGTCAATTTTTCGATTTTTCAATTAATCGATGTTTTGATTTTCCCATTTCTTGACTTTTTTCGATATTCCTGTTCTTCGATTTTTCAGGTTTTTGATTTTTTGACTTTTATAAACTCTTTATTTGTCGATTTTTCAATTAATTGATTTTTCAGATTTTTAGTTTTTCAATTTTTCTATTTTTTCAGGTTTCGATTTGACATCACTTTTTTGATTTATCGATTTCTCAATTTTTCAGTTTACTTGTTATTCAATTTTTCGATCTTACGATTTTGCAGGTTTTTGATTTTTCAATTTTTCGATTCTTTAGATTCCCAGTTTTGGGATTTTTCAATATTTCTGTTCTTCGACTTTTCCAATTTGGACTTCTGGATTTTTCGATGTGTCGACTTTTTGCTGTTTCGATTTTTAAATTTTAGATTTCTCAATTTTTTGGTATTTTAATTTTTCAATATTTAACATTTTAGATTTTCCGATTTCTCGATTTTTCATTTCAACTGTTCCATATTTCAATTTTTCAAATGTTTAAAATTTTAGATTTTCCGATTTCTCGATTTTTCATTTCAGTTCTTTGATATTTCAGTTTTTCAAGTTTTCGAATTTTTCAAATGTTTTGATTTCTTAGTCTAACGATTTTTCGACTTCCCGGTTTTAGATTTTCTGTTTTTCAATTGTCGTTTTTTCAATTTTTCGATTTTTCAATTAATCGATGTTTTGATTTTCCCATTTCTTGACTTTTTTCGATATTCCTGTACTTCGATATTTCAGGTTTTTGATTTTTTGACTTTTATAAACTCTTTATTTGTCGATTTTTCAATTAATTGATTTTTCAGATTTTTAGTTTTTCAATTTTTCTATTTTGTCAGGTTTCGATTTGACATCACTTTTTT